GCGGGTTAGACCACCTGCAGGCAAGGTGATGGTTAGGGTGTGAAAACTCAGATTGGGGCTGGGAGTGGAGCCCCAGGTGAGGAGGGGCCGCGGGGGGCCTCCTGAGGACCCAGGTGTCCACAGTGGAAGGGGGCTAAGGGACGGCCAGGGCTCGGGGAAGAGCTGTGTTGTGCAAAGATTCGGGGCAGGGCGGAGGGGAAGCAGCACGGAGCAAGCTAGTGCCAGTGGAGAGGGACAGAGCTGCGTTTTAGAAATCAAACGCACAGTTCTTGTTGACAGAATGGGGACGTGGGGTGGTGCTGAGCCGAGGGGAGATGTCGGGGGACTTCTGAGGCCTGGATCCTGGAACTAGGTGGGGAGGGGTCCCTGGGGGGGTGGAAGCAGGTTCTCCTTTGGAGGAAGTCAGCCGGGCGGGGGCGGGGGTGAGGGAGGTCGTAGGTGGGTGCACCTGCCAGGGCACTTTGCTGGGGACAGTCCTGAGGAAGTATTGCCCCATCATTCTATTTTTAAGATTTCCTTGAGAGGCAGAATTAGGGAAAGAGACAGAGAAAGGTCTACCATGTACTGGTTCACTCCCCCAGATGGTTGCAATGGCCGGAGCTGTGCCGATCCAAGCCAGGAGCTTCTTCTGGGTCCCCCATGTGGATGCAGGGGCCCAAGCACGTGGGCCTTCTTCCACTGTTTGCCCAGGCCATTAGCAGGGAGCTGGATCAGAAGTGGAGCAGCCAGGACTCAAACTGGCACCTGTATGGGATGCTGGCACCACGGGCGGAGACTTGGACCACTACGCCACAACACAACCCCCCCACACACACACACACTCTTAAAAGTACCCGTGTTCTCCTCTGAATGACCCCTAGAGTACGTGGATCATCAGTGAGGGCCCCGTGAGCGGCTGCAGGGAGAGGAGGTGGCGCTCTGTGCGGACGAGTAACCTGTGAACGGGGACAGTGTCGCTGCAAACTCGTCACGTGGCTGACAGGGAAGAATCAGAAGTTGGGCTGCGATGCAGCTTCAGGGTGACAAACAGCGTGCACACCCAGGCTCCCGGAGTGGAGGGGTGGGGGCGCGTTCCCAGGGCGGAAGTCCGCAGGACCCTCCTTCCACGATCAGGTGGCAGCCTGGCCTTGGGGCCCCTGGCAGGTGCACGGAGGAGAACGAGAGTCGCTTCCTTGCCATCCCCCCGAGCACGTAACCTGCATCTTGGCACCAGGGCCCATCCCTCAAACCCAAGCTGCAGGATTCCCACGGAGAACACAGCAGGGCGACCTACGGCATCCAAGTCTCAAAGTCAAAGACCGAGGAATGTTCCAGACTGGGGAAGACGCGAGAGACAGGACCCGCAGGTCGGGGCAGGGACGTTCACGTGGTCTGGCCGCTGTCGTGCACCCGGCGTGAGAAGCGGGCAGAGCAAGGGGCTGCCAGTGGGGGCAGGAGGGGAGGAGGTGCAAAGTTCAGGCCCGGCCCAGTTCTGGGGCAGAGCTGATTCTTCCCCTTGGACGTGACTGTTGTGCGGAGATCCCTCCCCCTGCCGTCTCACTTCCTGCCGCTGGGACCCTCCCCTGGGAACAAGCCAGGGTGCAGCCACCCGGACCCCCTGCCTGGCCTGTGGGTGGAGCGCTGACTCAGCCCCAGGAAGCAGGTGTCACCTGAGCCCGTGGTTGCCCGGCCTGGGGTGGGACCCGGTCACCATGGCACACACAGATAGTGCCACCTAAGCCAAGTTCTCAGATAATTCTGGGGAAGCCAGATTTCTCCAGAACCTTCCATGTGCTGGTTCCTCCGCACAGGAAGAATACAGGTCAGGTCAGGGAAGGGAGGAGTGGTACCCTGGGGAGGGAAGGCAGAGGGTCCCTCGGACGGTGGGGGTGTCCCCCGGCTGGACAAGGACTCTCCGCTCCAGGTGACTCAGTTCCCCCCAATGGGAATGGAGTCAAAGATGCTGTGTCGGCCACACCCTTCGGCAGACCCCTGTCCCTGGCTGGGCTGGGCTGCCGTCGCTCTGAGAGGTGCCAAGAACGTGAGGAGTATGACCGGTGGGCCTGTCGCCAGAGCTGGAGCTGTCTCCCGAGAGGCGTGTGGCAGGGAAGCCAGCCAACACGGGCGCGTCCCCGCCGGCCGGCCCGTTCTAAGATCACCTTGCCCTTGGCATCCGAGGAGTGGAGCGGGCAGAGCCACATGGCTGCAGCAGCCCGGACGCCACTTCCTGTGGATTGCCCATCACGTGGCCCAGCCTTCGGGGTCTCGACGCGGGGTCTGTCCCTCGGCAGAGCTGTAGCTCTTGGCCCTCAGAACTCCTTTACCTCCTAAAACTTAGCGTGAGGGGTGGGCATCTGGGGCAGCTGTTAGGACGTTGCTGGGGTCGCCTGCATCCCCTATCACAGTGCCTGGGCTGCAGTCCTGGCTCTACTTCCAACCCAGCTTCCTGCTCATGCGCGCTCTGGGAGGCGGCAGGTGACGGCTCAAGTAGCCGGATCCCTGCCACTTGACTTGAAATGAGTTCCAGGCTCCTGGCTTCGGCCTGGCCCAGCCCCAGCTGTTGCCTGCAGTTGGGGAGTGATCCAGGATAGCTATCAGTAGAAAGAATACTTGGCTGCAGCAGGAGTGGCGTGGGGCCGTGTGCGCCCATGACCCCAGCAGTTTTGTCCATGAGGATGACCCCCAAGGGCTCCTGATAAAGTCGCATGAAACATCAGAACCTCGTTTGCTGTCACAGTTTGCTAACGTCCCGGATCGCCAGGAGAACTGACGACTAACATACTGCCCCGTTGATGTAACAGAATATGAGTCGCTGCAGGTGTCAACATAGAGAAGCCCCCCAAAACGAGACGGGGGCACAGCAAGCTGTCAGAGAAAGCCATCGGCGCCGTCCCCTGAATTTCAGAGCACGTGAGACCAGACCTCCTGTTTCCTGTGTATACAGAAACTGCTGCATGGGGGTCAGGTGAGGGAACAGAGAGGGGTTTCATTGCATCAGTGACGCCATAATTCATCACATGATTTTGAAACGGCTGTGGGGACGTGGGGAGCCCTGTCGACGACTCCCCAGTACTCCGGGCAGAGACCGCCAGCTTCGCTCCAACATCTTTTCTTTCTGTCTCACTGACTGGGGACAGCGTGTGCACAGCCTATCCCTGCCACGGCAGCCATGGCTGATGAAGTGGAATTGGAGGTCAGGAAGCACCGCTTGTGGGAAAGTTCCTCCACCAGAAGGCGTGATGGCCGACTGCAGTGTGGAGCGAGGCGGGACTGGACAGCTGGAGCCACGGCCGCCCTGCTGTGCCCAGGAGGCTGAGGACAGCAGAGGTCGCAGGGACAGGGACCACACACAGCTCAGATGGGGTGATGTCATGGGGCCCCGCCCGCACCTGGACCACACCAGCAGAAGCCCCTCCTGGCCAGGCCACGTCCACGTGCAGCCCCACACTCTGGCCACATGGAGCCGCCGTCCGCCCCTGAGCCACGTGCCCCGTGCCTGCGTCCCCTTCCTCTCTGAACCTGTCCTGCTCCTGGCCTCGTGGAGCCTGCTTGCGTGTCTCCCCCTGCTGCCCGGTAATGGGATTTCAGCAATGTGGGAGGGGGAGGGGGAGGGGGAGGGGGAGGGGGAGGGGGAGGAGGGAAGGCTGCCACCTCCCGGGCCGTGGGGGTGGAGTCCGCGGGGACACAGAAACCCTTGTTGCCTTCTGTTCTGGGGGAGCCCCGGATCAGCAGCTGACGATCGGACGTGTACATGAAGCCCCAGAATACTGGAAGTCTGAGAACACTTTTTTTTTTCCCCAAACTTTGTGGCAGCCCAGAGGAGGAGGAGGAGGGGTCGCATCTGAAACCAGAACACGAGCAGGAACCTTCAGGAAGGCCGAAACTATGAGAGCCTTGGCGCCCGCTCTGGCTCATGGCTGCGGGATTCCCGGGCTGCAGGGGTCGGCGGGCAGAGCCCACGTCCCAGCACGTGGCGGGAGGGGGCGGGCCCTGGGGTGCTCTCCCATCTTCCCCTCGCATCGGCCCCTTCCACACCTGAAAGCCATTTGTCTCTGGCCAGCGGGACCTGCTTTTGTGTCCCTGGGAGCCCCGGGCTGGGCCCAGCTGTCAGCATTGTTCGCAGCAGCGCCGGGATCTGCGTGTGCTCCCTGGCCCACTGGAGGGCGACACTGCCCAGGAGCCGTGACCAGCGCTGCAGTACAGGTGGGGACACTGGGGCATGTCCGGACCCAGCTCCGCCACAAGCACCCTGGCAATTCTGGGGGGGTCTCCTTGGCACCCCTCCAACCGGCTATGTGTGCTGCAGGTGCCACCCCGTGGCACGGCCGCCTGGGAACCAGGCTCAGAGCCCGCTCTGTGTGGAAGGTGTTTTTGCCGGCTGTGACTGTGGCACAGTGGTGAGAGGCCTGGTCTCCGAGCCTCACTGCAGGTGCCGTCTAACCCAGCCACACGTGCACCTCCCGGGGGTCCCCATCTGTCAAGCGGTGGTATCAATGCCGAGAGTCTACACTGCTGTCCCAGCACGGTGCTGGGAGCCCCGACCTCCCCACTCCAGCCTGAGGTTCCCATGGGGGACCCTGTGGGGCGGCCTGGCCTTGCCCATGCTTATTCTCTGCCTGTTCCTGTCCGATTGCTCTGTCCTGGGGCGTGGCTGTGGCATCACCCGGTGCCACACTGCATGCGGCTGCCCCCGCACGCGGCCTTCTCGTCCCACTTCCCAGACAGAGCTGGAGCTGAGCAGGGCAGGGCTGGCCCGGGATGGCCGTGCAAGGGGCAGAGGAAGGACCGCGGGAAACCGCACAGGAGGGCAGCGACTTCCCTTCCGGTGCCATCCCTGCTCATGCCTTTGTCTCCCACACACACGCAGGATCTGGCGTCTCCGTCTCGCTGCGGCCAGCCCCGGGCCTGGGTGCTGGTCCGTGTTTCTTGGCTGAGGGAGCGTGAGGCCTGGGGAGCCCCCAGCCCCGCCCCCAACCCTCAGGGTTCAAGAAAGGGACTGGCCCAGGCACTGCAGCCCTATCTGCCGCTTTTGCTTTTTATTAAAAAATAGATCACGAAAATATACACGCTTCAGTCCACCCACCCCGGTGGGCTTGGAGGAGGCCAGAGTGCCATGGGGACGGGGCAGCGGGGCGAGGGAGGTGCCCGCTGCCAGCCTGCCCTGGGCGGTCAAGCCAAGGGCAGGCGGAAGGGGGACCGGGGGGGGGGCAGGAAGCGGCCCTCGGCCTGGCCCTGCCACCTCGCTCTGTTGCGCCCGGCCTCGGCCTCGGGTTCCCCAGGGCCAGTCCTCGCCGCGGCCTGGGGCAGCCGTGCTCAGGCGTTGATGACCCTCCAGCGCTCGCTGTCTGTGCTGTTGATGCTGCCCGCGTGGCAGGGCATGGAGGCCACGTCGTCCAGGTAGGCGACGCCAGCGGAGTCGAACTGCGTGCTGGAGTAGCAGGCGGCAGAGGCCCCGGCCACCCCTGCGGCCTCCAGGCCCTCGCGCCTGGCCACAGCGTAGGGCTGGGGCAGGTGCACGTCGGGCTCCTCAGTCTCGTCCACTTGGCATTTGTAGGAGAAGAGGATCTTGGGTTCCGAGCTGCTGGGCAGGAGACAGGGTCAGAGGCGGCTCCCCGGCTGCCTTGGGGACTGAGGCCATCGGATGCGGAAGGGGAGCTACCAACAGGTGCCTGATGGCCGGGGTCGGTGCCTGCAGTGCGCCCTTGACCGGGCACTTCTCCAAACGCTCGCGCTTGGGGAGGGGGGGTACTGAGATCCTCTAAGCGGAAAACGGCCATGCGGGACAATGCACGCTGCCGCGCTCTCCCGGGAAGAGGGGGGGACAGAGCCCACGTGCGCGCGCACAGCGTACGTACGCCGCGCCCCCGTGGTACCTGGCGGGGCCGCGCCACGGCACGCACACGCGCACGGTTCCGCCGGCAGCCACGTGGGGGCGCCGGAGGCCCGCGCACACAGGCCGGCCGGCCGGACTCACCCGAAGAAGCCCCGGAGGAAGGCCACGTAGATGAGCGGCGCGAAGAAGCTGAAGTAGAGGAAGGTGGTGGCGTCCACACAGCTGGAGCGGGGCGCGCAGGTCATGGCGGGTCTTCGTGGCCGCCCCGCCCCCCGCCTTCCCCCATCCCCCCATTCCTTGCCCCCGCCCCGTGCCCGTACCACAGCCCCTCGATGATGTCGGCGCAGAGCAGCGCGCTCCCCAGCCCTTGCAGCAGGTTGAGCAGCGCCAGGATGGCCGCGTACACGTAGAAACTCCTCCGCGCTGCGGGAGGGCGGGGGCGTGAGGCTCTGGGACCCCTGGGACCCGCCCTCCACTCCTTCCCCACCACTCCCAGCCCGCCCCCAGCCGCTCACAAGGCAGGGAGATGCGTTCCTTCAGCGGCGTCTTGGGCAGGAGGACCACCAGGGAGTAGACCTGCCGGGGAGAAGGTCGGAGGCGCCGGGCTCAAGCCTGCAGCCCGGAGCCTGAACACCGAGCACCCCGGCCGGCCGCACGGCTCACCAGGAAGAAGCAGCACGAGCTGACCAGCCAGAACTGGCGGCCTCCGTGCCCGTAGATGTTGAAGTCCTCGGCTGAGAGGTGGGCGTCCGGGTACAGGATCTCCAGGGTGCCCTGCGGCAGCGGGCGGGGCAGGCTCAGGCTCCTGGCCCTGCCGCGCCCGCTTTCCCTGGATGCGAAGCCGCACGCGCTCATCACCACACCAGCCCGCTGGGGCTGCCCCAGCCTGCTCCCTGCAGGACCTGGGCTGTCAGAGGCCTGGCCCTGGCCCCAGCCTAAGCGGGGACTCTGGACGCTGGTCTCGGGGTGGCCGTCCAGCCTGCCTTCCCCCTCCTGGGGCTCTGAGCCTGCTGCCGGTTGGACGGGGAACCTTAGAGGCAGCTCAGGGCCTGCCTCGAGGGAGCAAGCACCCCAGGTGTTTTCTCAGGTGTTCCGAGGTGTTCTGCCCGTGCTGTGCTTGGAAAACCTGCAGAACCTGATCCAGATCCAGACCAGGAGGCCGCGGGGTCCAGCCTGGTGCCCCCAGCCCTGCTCACCTGGGTGACGGAGTAGGCCAGGGATAGCACGGTGGTGATGGCCAGCACCCGTCTGATGCTTGACTTGCTCTCCAGATGACCTGGGGGACAGGTGCGGGCCGCTCAGCGGGAGCCATCAGGACGGGCCCCCCAGCCAGGCAGGGGTGGGGGCGGGGAGGCGGCCACCCAGGCCCCGGAGCCCAGCAGCGCACGCACCGAAGGCCAGGCCCAGGATGACCACGCTCAGCTCGATGGCCAACAGGAAGAAGCGGGTGATCTCCCACAGGATCTGGGCACAGAGCGGGCAGAGTGTCGGCCTGGGTGCCCCATGCCGCCCCCCCGAGCCCGGGTCCACCCCGCCGCGGCCTTAGCCACACCTTGTCAGCCACTGTCGCATCCGAGGCGCTCACAGTCATGGACACCACGGCGCGGGCGATACCCACCAGCGCCACCACAAACACCTGGCAGGCAGGGAGGGGTGGGGTCAGGTTGAACAGCCTCGAGGGGGCGGGGCAGGACGGCAAGCCCACCCCACACCTGCAGGGGACTTGGATGGAAGAAGGCAAGGAGGGGGTGGGGCGGAGGCTGGGGCAGGGCAGCCGGGGAGACCCAGTGGCCGGCCCATGACCTCAGCACGGCCTCTCCTCTCGGGCCACAGTTTCCTGTGTTTTGCCAAAGTGCCTGGGCTCACAGCTGCACCCCTCATTCTCTCCTCTCCCCGCAGTGTGGTTCCCGGTGAGGGTGAGCCCGCCCCTCCTGCTGCAGGGACAGGCCTGCGACCCTGGGCTGGCCTTTCCCAGGGTTTGGGGCCGGCCTGGCGATGGGCTTGGGACCCAAGACGACCTGAGGGAGGTCAGGCCCAGGAGGACACGGCACCCCAGCAGCACTGTGGAGCCCCTGACTCTGGCCAAGCCTGATCCAGCATCTCAGTTTATCAGTCAGCGACTTCCCCAGGTTTTCTGACGCCCGAGGGCCCAGGCGTAGCCACACTGTGCAGGGCAGGTGCAGCTGCCCCGCCGGTGCTCCCAGGAAGGCCACAAGCTAAGGCAGAGCCCACACGTGTTACCAAGGAGGCCGCTGCAGTGCAAGGAGGCCCCAGGTCACCCAGCTGCAGGGTCAGGGCCCGGAACCCACCCGTCCAAGGCCACTCTCGCCCCTGCCTCTGGAGTCTGGAGCCCCGTGGGACAAAGTTCCCGAGTAAGCAGGCTGCCCCGGCCCTGCTGTATGTTCTAGAACGTCAGCCCTGGCTCCCTTCTCCCTGTCTGCTCCCCCAGAAAAGGCACCTGCCTGGCACCCAGGCCCCTCCCTGCCTCCCTGCCTGCCCGCTCCCCTGACGGGGAAGTTCTGAACCGGACCACAAAGAGGGGCCCAGGGCTCAGCCCGCAGGGCCGGTGGCTGAGAGTGACGGCCAGGGAGCAGGGGTTCCCTTCAGGGCAGGGGAGAGGGGCCCTGGAGGAGGACAGCCGGGACGGCCTACACCTGGGGGCGGCCTCTCAGCCCCAACACCCCTCTCTCCCGGGGACGAGGACGCAAACGCCCCCAGCAGGGCTCGTGGGGTGGGGGTGTGGAGAGTCCCGATGACATCATCTAATCCCCTGGACCCAGCCATACCTGAAGCCTGTGTCTCATTACAGCATCGGCTAATTCCCTTTCTCCCTTGAGCCATTGGAAGTCGGGGTTTCTGTCAGCAACTGGAGTGAACTCACCAGGATGTAGAAGGTGATGAAGATAGGGCTGGGGGTGATGCGGATCTTGGCGCGTGCCAGCGGAAGCTTCCAGAGCAGGAAGATGAAGAAGAGCACATTGGGGATGAGCAGCAGGAGGTCCCAGTACCGGACCCTGGCGGACAGGGGAGAAGCCGGCTCCCCGGTGAGGCCACGCCTCCCCTCCCGCCCACTCCCGGCTGCCCCGCCCCTCGGGGCCGCACCTGGAGGTGCCGATGTCTTCGTAGAGCAGTAGCAGGCAGCAGTGGGGCACGCTGATGTTCGGGGCCATGGGTGCGGGCGACACTGTGCCGGCGTCAGCCCCGGTCACCTCCTCCAGGGTGTCCATCCTGCCAGCAGGGGCCCTGCGGGAGGGAGAGCCGCTGGCATTAGAGGGCCCAGCGCGGCGGCGGGGGGGGTGGGGTGGGGATCAGAGGGGCTGCACAGGGAGCTCAGCCCCAGGCTTGATGGCCCGGAGGAGACGTGTGGGACTTGTGCAAGTGTCACGCCCAGGCCCTGGGCAGGCGCCTGTCCGTCTGTCCACCTGTAGGTGTGTCCGGCTCCATCTTGTGACCACCAAGCGGTGACATCGATGGAGCATCTCTGTGGGGCCTGAGGACTGAGCCGGGGAGCAAAGCCCTGCGTCAGAGCCCAGCCCAGCCCCACCCCAACCTCCTTGTCTGTTCTGTGCCTCAGTATCCCCGCCCCTCCCCAGTGCCTCCTCGCGAGGCGCCCCCACCAGGGGGCAGCCCCACCCTGCAGAGCTGGCACAGAGGCCACGCAGCTGCGGAGGGTCACGGCCGGCCATCACATACTCCTGAGTGGGACCCTCGAGCCCTGTCTCCCTTGGGGGATGCTGAGCTGTGGCTGGGAGACACACAGGCCCCCAGGTGGAGACCCTGCAGAGGGAATCCCAAGGCCAAGGGGGCAGGGGTGGGCCCAGAGGCCCGGTGCCTGGGTGGCAGTCAGTCCAGCCTGGGGAGCAGACACAGGCTGGGAGACTAAGACACAGACTCCCAGGTCAGGGGCCTCCGGGGCATGACAGCAGGGACTTCTGCAGAAGCTACAGGAGAGTCCAGGGCAGGATGAGCCAGGAGGGCGTGGGGCATGAGCAGAACCTAACGGGGCCAGCATTCAGAGTGCAGAACACACAGGTGAACGAAGGCCGGCTCAGCCCATGGGATTCCATGTAGCGACAGAGAGAGTGGTCGACAGCACGGGCTGAATCTGCCAAGCTCGGTGTGGAGTGAGGGTGGGCACGCGACCTGCACGCCGTGTGGCCCGTGTGGAAGTGCAGACCGGGGGAGGGGAGGTTGCCTGTGTGGGGGCAGAGTGCACGCCAGCGACTGGCATGTCGCAGCTGACTTCAGCAAAGGCAGAACGTCAGAAAGACGTCACCCTGACAACACGTTCAAGGGCACAGCGTGGGGAGCTGCTTGACCGTTCAGGGGCTCGGTGACACCTATGATATCAGCCCGAGGGAGGGGGCACTTAGAGACCTGCCTGAGCCAAAAGGAGAGAGGACCCCAGAGTGAGTGGGAAGAGTGCGGCTCGGGCCCCCGTCCTCTCCACTGGGGCTGGGGCTGCACTGCCACTGGGACGTGTGACACAGAGACCTCGCAGCGACCTCCGAGGTGACAGGGAGCTGATCACTGAAAGGCGCCGGCTCCTCCCCTGCTGCCTGCTGATGGGGGATGTGACAAAGAAGCCCACCCGCTCCTGCACCTGCCTCGCAGCCCTTGCCAAGCACCCGCTGTGTGCCAGGCACAAGGGCAGGTACTCGGACTTGGCAGGGAGCGGAGCGGGCTGGGACGGGATGATGGGACACACAGACGAGGCCCCGCGGGTCCTGGCGACAGTGAGGCCTGCAGGTGTGTCCCGGGCGGCTGGCACCCAGAGTGTCCCGCAGCAGACGGAAGGCATCCTGCCGCTTTGGGTGGCGTGGTGAGACAAGGTGACCCCTGAGCTGAGGCCTGAATCGCTGAGGGGGAGCCAGCCTGGCAACAGCCCGAGAGAGGGGCGTTCCAGGGGGAGAACGGCAAATGCAAGGCCCCTGACGTCCAAGCAGGCTGGGCCCGGGCAGCCGCAGGACAAGACGCAGGCCAGCGCGGCAGGAGACGAGATCAGGAAAGCTCACGGGGCCAGGTCGGAGGGGATGACGGGGCCCACGTGCAACGGGAGTTCACTGAGCGTGCAGCAAGCCGGGTGCTTGGAAGGGAGGTGACGGGGCCTGGCTTCACATGCACAGGATGGCTGTGGCTGGATGAGGGCGGAACGCGGTGGGACGATGGACCCTGAGGGGCTACTGCAGCTGTCCCGGCAAGAGAGCGCAGTGCTCCACCTGGTGGCGGCAGTGCAGTGCAGAGGAGGGATGTGGCACAGCCCTGGGAGAGCCAGGGGAGGGGACCCTCAGTGCCCCTGCTCTCTGGGAGGCTTCCTTCTGGCTGACTCCACCCCTTCCCAACTTCCGGTAATGTGCACGTGAGCTAAGCCACTCCCACTAATGTGCACGTGATCTTAGCCTGGCCAATCAGGGTGTCCTATCACCCTGGCCAATGAGACTGTGCCCTGAGACTTTTGCTCTGATTTCCAGGAAACAGTCTGCTGAGATCGGTGAGTCGGGGCTATGGTCCCATAACTGGGGGCCCCTGCCCCAGGAGAGAAACCAACACAGGACTGCACCAAGCTGAGAGACGGGAGCAGTCACATCGCGAGGAGCTCCCTGAGCCTCTGGATTCGGCCTCACACGCTCTGTCTCTAAAACGCAGTGAGTTCCCTTCTCTGCATGGGCCCATTGCTGTCTGATTTCTTGGCTTTGCGAAGGAAAAGCTTCCAGCCAACACAGGTCACGGAGCTAGGCCTGCGCTGCACTCCTGGCTCTGCCCCGTGCTTGCTGGGTGACCTTGGCTGAGTCACTTCCGCTCTCTGAATGTCACTGGGACGGCAATACCTCCCTCACAAGGTTGCTGGCGGGAGCAAACCAAACAGGAGAAGTGAATGTGTGTGAAAGGACGCTGGCACGGCTCACCGGGGAGGGACCCCGGGGGGGATGAAGGGGAGGAGGGCGGTTCCAGGGGCTAAGAGCCCTCACTGTTACGGGGGCTGCTCCCCCTGCACCCACTGCCCTACAGTGAGCAAGAGAACAAAGAGCAAGCCCTGAGCCCTCCCAGCCCCGGGAGAGGGACCCTCACTGTCCCTGCCGGACAGCCACCTGCTGGGCCTGCCGTCCAGGCTGGCAGCCTCCGGAGCCCAGCCCCCAGCCACCCCCACGGCAGGTGCCCGGCTCCATCTCTCGGTTCCTGCAGCCGTGGGTCCAGGGCACAGGCCCTCTCCAGAGCCGCGATTCTCAGCCCTGAGCGTCTGCAGGAATCATGGGCACGCAGGTCGCCACGCAGGTTCTGGGAGGGCAGAGAGCACCCTGCTAACATGGTGACGCTCCACCAAGCTGGCATCCTGCGGCTGTCGCTGGTATGTGTCAATGCTTATAAACCCACTGACGTCATGGTTTTAAAATAACAACAGCGTGCACCTCCCACGTGCAGACTAGGTGCTGAGTGGTAAAGTGTCCCCGCGCCAGTCTCTAAGAGTCAACAACCTCAGTACTGGCCCCATTGCACAGAGAGGAATGCAGAGGCTTGGCCTTGGCCTTCTCTGCCCCAAGTCCTGAGAGGTGGCCCAGAACACCCACAGTCTCCCCAGACACACTCCCTGATGCTCCTGGCGTTGCCCTCGGATGGGTTCCCGGCCTTGGGGACACAGCCCAGGCTGGCTCCTGGACAAGGAGAAGGCAGGATGGCTGGCTGAGGACAGGGCGGGGCCCCCGGTGCAAGAGGGGGGAGGGGCTTCTCAGAGAAGCCCGCAGGAAATAGAGAACCCCGGGGGCAACCCCAGGCCTCAGGACCAGAGAAACCGGGGCAGGCTGGGAGGGAGCCTCCCGGCCTCGTTAACATTGCCCTGCCACCTCTCCTCCCACTCTCTGCCGCCAGCCAGCCAGCCGGTGGGGCAGGATGTCACAGGTCATGGGGACCTGCTGTGTGCCCCTGGGCAAGCACCTTCTCTGGGCTCTCCCGTCCATGACCTGTGCGACGGGAACCCCTGAGCAGGGGAGAGGGGGCCGCGATGGCGCCCAGGGCTCCCTACCCTAGCAGGATGTTGAGCTCTCAAACGCTGGGCCCTCAGCGGGGTAGGGAGGACCCCGGACCACCGATGCCAGGTTCCTTTGCCGCGCCCCCATCGCCCTTCTGTGCCGGGGGTGGGGGTGGGGTGGACACTTCCTAGAGAGGCCAAGCCGGCCAGCAGCCGAGACGAGACGCAGGGCTGAGTGTTGTGGCACAGCGGGTGACGCCACACTTGGGATGCCAGCGCCCCAGATTCCAGTCCCGCCCCCCGCTGGTGCACCTGGGAAGGCAGCAGCAGGTGGCTCAAGTGCTCAGGCCCCAGCCCCGTGGGAGACCCTGATGGAGTCCTGGGTGCTGGCTGTGGGCTGGCCCAGCCTTGGCTATTGGGAGCGTGTGGGGAGGGAACCAGCAGGTGGAAGATCTGTGTGTGTGTGTGTGTGTGTGTGCATGCGTGTGTCTCTCTACCTTTCAAATACATAAAACCTTACGAAACAGCGGCAGCAGCTTTGGCAGGAGCCCCCAGGGAGCAAGGGGGGCCAGCCCTGCTTCCCTAGGCCTCCAAGGCGCAGTCTGAGCTGACCCCTGCCCCGCTCTGCCTCAGTCCCCCCCCCCCCCCAGCCAGCTGCTGGCGTTCAGTTTGTTCCTCCCGCACACCAAGCTTAGTCTTAGCCCCAGGGGTCTCTGTGCTTGCTGTACCCCTCCCTGACTCTGCCTCCTCACTCTGTCCTGTCACCTCCTCCTAGAAGCCCCCCTGTGGTTTCCTTGCTGCACTTGAATTCTGCGTGAGGCGGCCCTAGCTGTGTGTTTACACAGCCTCTGAGTGTCAGGACCCACACCCAAGAGCAGGGCTCACCAGAACACTGCCAGTGTGCACAAGTGACCCTGCGGCCCAGGGCAGCTGGGCCCCTCTGGGCGTGGGGAAAGGGGACCCCACCCTCATCCCCCAAGTCTGGTGGAAGTCTGGTCCCTGGGCCCCCACGAGGGCCCCTGACAGAACAGCAAAGCCCAGGGCAGGGCTGTGGCCCCAGCTGAGGACAACAGCTCCCTGTGCCTGGAGGCTGCAGGGAGGGCCTGGACCCCTGTTTGTGCACCGGGTTGGGGGTGGGGGGCGCTCCGAAGCCCAGATCTCTTCCTGCCTGGCCTGAAGCCAGGTGCAGAAGCCCTCCTGCTTGTGGGCGGCCCGGGCCCTAGGCAGCGGCGGCGGCCAGGGGTCATTCCCCCCTCTCTGGGCCATGCCCCGACCCCATTCCCGAGGGGACCCCCAAGTACCGCGCGGCCCCTTCCGCTGAGCCCGCACACTTCGGGGCCCCTGCCCGCCCCGAGACCTGCCCAAGGCTGTCTCCTGAGGCTGCGCCCTCAGTGGGCAGGGGTCACCCAGGATAGAGGAGCGGGGACAGGGACAGGTGGGCCCCGGTCCCTGGGGATAGGTCCGGGGCAGCGATTGGGCTTTACGGCGCAGCGAGGGAAAGGGACAGAGTCCCCCTCCTTACCTGAGGCCCTGGCCGCGCTCAGACCCGGCCCCCGGGGCCGCCCATCAGCCGCCGCTGGGTGCGTGAATCCCACCGCACAGGCCGCGGGACCCGGGCCTCCAGGGCCGGCCGACGGTAGCCCAGGCCGGGGAGCGTCGTTCAAGAGCCGCGGACGGCTGACTCCGCGGAAATGGGCGGGAGACAGGAAAGACAAGACTCGGGGAGCGCCGCGGGCCCGCGGGCCCCCGAGACACCGCGCTGTCCTCCCCGGCAGCGGCGACCCGCAAGACAGCACCGTCTCTTCCGTCCAGCCAAAACTGCGAAAACAACCACCGTCCCTACTTGTGGCACCTAGGTCCGGCCCCCGAAGCCGCAGTAGCCTATAGGAACGGACTTCCCCCGAAAAGCGCAGAAGAGGCCAATCAGGTTTCCAAGGGGGCGGGGCGGACCACTGACCTCTTAAAGAGATAGCACGGCTTCACTGCGTGCGGAAGAAGCCGCTGGGTTTCTCACCGGGAAGAGGGCCAGTTCCGCGCGCTCCAGAGCCACAGACGCCCCACCTCTTGCCCTCCTCGCCTTCCAGGTGTCAGCAGCTGGCGACTGGCCAGAGCCCGCGGACGGGTGCTCAGCCTACGGCCAGGTCGCCCTAGGCGGAGCCTCCAGGGACCGTCCCCTCGCAGGCCGCCGCCGCCTGGGGGCAGCTGGCAGTGGTGACTCTGGGTCACCCGGGAGGGAGGAAGCCAGGGAAGGCCCTCCCTCGGAAGCACGCACTTGCCCAGGAAGCCTCGCAGCCGGACGGGACGGTCTCCGCGAAAGCAGCGTCTCAGCCCCGAGCTGTACCCCTCTCGCGGCTTCCTCCGGAAAGCCCTCCCTGGCTGCCCCCACCCGCCAGGACCCCTGTCCCTGCGGGCCTCAGCGCTCAGTTTACTACAGGCCCCCTCAGCTCTGCGAGATTGCGCCCCACGTGCCCCCGGGGGCCTCCTCTCCTGCCCGCCCCCTCCTCATTCCCCTCGCCTGGTTCGGGTCCTCCACCCCTCTCTGCCCTGACACCTGGCTGGCTCCTTGTCGCATCACCTGCCCAAGGCAGCTGTCCAGTCGCCAGCCCATAATGCTCTTTTATTCCCTTCAAAGCACCATCCCTCCCTCACATGATTTGTGTTCGGCTGCTGCTCCCCCCCACCCCCAGCATCAGTGTCATGCGGGCGTCTGCTCTGTAGCATCCCGAGGCTGACTCAGTGCCTGACGCAAATGGTAGGCACCCCGTTATTACAGTCGCCCCAAAATACACACCCGTGACAGCACAGCTGGGCTGCAATGAGAGTGGGCCCCGTTCCTTGTTCCAAACCGTGAGGCGGTTGGGCAGAGACAGCCTTGTAACCATTTGGGACTCGGTTTTTCTGGAACTTTCCCAGCCTGGGCCGCGGCCACGGTGTGCGCAGCTTAAGTCTCAGTGTCTGTGTTTGCTGGGAGCTACCTGTCGCTCGGATCACCAGGGACCACAACCTGCAGCTCCTGCAGCTCCTGCAGCTCCTGCCGGTTCATTCCTGCTCATGTTGAACCAGCAGCAGCGCGTCCTTGGCTGCTGCTAGCGTCCAGGGGGCAGGACACTGCCATCCTTGCCATGTGCCAGGAAGCACGCGTCCAGGGCACCTCCGATCAGGCCTAAGGACGACCCTGTCTTTGTCGCCATGCTGAGACACAGGCGGAGGTGGCGGGGGGGGGAGGCGAGTGAGTTTTCTGTCACCGCCACCACCCACGATCCCGCATTCTGTGCTCTTGACTTTCGGGCCCCATCGGTGAGTTTCTGAGTGGTTTTACTGTCTTTGTGGAGGAAGCGCAGGGACCCCGGGGGCATACAGGACGCACGCTGCTTCTGCCCAGATCAGCAGTACTTTGACGTACAGATGCGGCTCGCAGGAGGCGGCCCTCATCCCACCCTCCCCAGGCCATGGCTGGCCGCGTGGACACGCTGCTGCGGAACGGGCTCCCCACAGCAGTGGGGAAGATAGCAATCCCAGAGCAACAGAGCCGCGTGGCAGTGCTTAGATGTCATCAGCAGGTCCTGTGACTCCCAGGTGGAAGGAGTGGCCGGGAAGGTTCCGCGTATTCCTGGGGTGGACTTGCTGGCACAGTGCCCGGGCTGCCTCCTGGTCTGTGGTGCGAGGGCTGTCACGGTGAGGAGGTGAGGTGTGGGTGGGGCCAGCGTTGTGGCCCAGGGTCGCCATTTGCTGTGCAGATGTCCTATATAGGGAGTGCTGGTTTGGGTCCCCGTTTCTCCGCCTCTGATCCAGCTTCGTGCAGATGTGTGTGGGAAAGCAGCAGAAGGTGGCCCAGGTGCTTGGGTCCCCACTATCCACGTGGGACACCAGGGTGGAGCCCCTGACTTCCGGCTTTGACCTGGCCCAGACTTGGCTGTTGCAGGCATTCGGGTAGTGAGCCAGTAGACAGAAGACATTTTCTCTCTCTCTCTCTCCCCCTCCCCTTCTCTCCCTTTCCCTCTGTTGCTCTTCCTTTCAAATAAATCATTTAAAAAAAAAAAAAACACATTCAGTCAAAGCCCTTGAAACCCCCTCCCCCCGTCGTCGAGGCCAGTGCCACCTCGGGAGACCTGCAGCACCTGGGACAGGATTGGACTCCGATTCACCCATCTGGCCTTAAAAAAACAGTACAGAGGGTGGGCGTGCCTTGTAGCACACTCAGCCAAGAAGTCCCAAGGGCAGCTGCTGAGCTGGTGTCGCCGGCAGCGCTGGTGCACATGGCCTCGGCGACCCCAGGTGGCAGGGAACCATCTGCATTCAGAGCTGTCCCTGAGGCCACGGGACCCACAGGGACATTAGAGGCATAGGGGGTGGGGAAGACGCCGCATGGAGTTTGCTGGCAAACCCTGGAAGCAAAACCACAAAGCAGCCCCTAGGGGAGCGGGAGCAAGGCCAGGGCACCCACCGCAGGCAGCTCTGCAGGGCTGCTGGGCCCTGGCCAGCAATGACACGGGGACACCCAGTGACCGGGAGGCCAGAGCCCACTAGGTTGGAGATCCAGATGGGCCCAGAGCTGCAGGCCTGTGTCACCCGTCGTCACTTAACACAGTGGCGGCTCAGGCACCACCATGGCTGACAGGCTGGTCCTATTTATGGAGGAAAAGGCTGCGCTGGATCACAGGGGAGCTGACTCACCCTGTGGGCCACACGCAGCGTCTGGAGGTGGGACAGCTGACTGCACCTGATGGCGGGAGCAGCAGGTGGAGACGCCTGCTGACGCGCTTCCAGCACAACTCCAACGGGACTGTGTTAGCTGGGGCCTGCAGCTTCTCCCTGTGGGTGGCTCCCCTGCAAGTGAGCGGTCTGCGGGGTAGGTCAAGGTCAAGCACACACACTCCTCTCTGAATTCCCGCCTCCTGGAGCTTGGAAGTAGACCGGCCCAAAGAGCGAGGTGCAGCTAGCCGGACCCTGGGATCATCTGTTACGTGGCAGCAGGTGCAGGCCTGAACATTCCCACCGAGCCCGGCTCTCCGCAGCTGTGACTGGAACACGCTCCCCGCACCTGGGCTCCCCTGGGTGAGGGGAATTTGCACCAAGAACCTCGTCTGTGAATGCCCACAAAATCCTGAAGCTCTTTGGGTGCTCTGTAGCTTGAGGAAACGTGGACACTGCCCACTCACAAACGAGGCACCAGGAAACACGGCTCTGAGCCTCATCGGCCCCGTCTGTAAGATGGCCGGAGCGCCACCAAGCCCACGCAGCCAGCGAGTGGGGTGGGACCCGCGGGACCCGCCCCCGCAGCACAGCCTAGCCCAGCCCAGCCCCGTCCCAGGCTCTCTGGCCGCCTCCCGGGGAACGCAGGGCCGAGCGGCGTGGGCGGGGCCAGACTCTGGCCCGCCCCCCCCGCGCCGCCGCCGCCCGCAAACAGACGCCGACGTCATGACGTCGTCTCCCTCCGGGCGCTTCCCGGGCTCGGTGCGTCACGTGAGCCGGTTTTCGCGCGAAAACTGGTTGTTGCTGGAGGAGCTTGAGGGAAGACAGCGGCGCGACGATGGCGGTGAGCGCGGCGTGCGGGGCGCGCGGGGTGCTGGCGGGGCCGAGGCGTCGCGGCCGCCGCGCCTCAGGTTCTCTGGGCTTCTCCGGGCCGCGGGCGGGACTCCGTGTTCGTGCCGGCGGGCCGGGGGCTGGGGTGCGCGGCGGGGTGGAGTCCGCCTGGCGATCCCTCTGCCCGCTGCAGCCTGGGGTCGCCGGGCACCCCAAGCCGAGCGCGCCCCTGTCATTGTTCACCCTGCACGTGCTGTGTAGGGCGCCATCTGTAAGCCTGCCGGGGGGCGCGCGCCCGGCACGCCGCGGCCTGGGTCTTCTCCGCTGCTTCCTGCTGTGTTTTCCTGTTCCTTTGTCTTGGTTGCTGTGCGCTCCTCCAGCCCAAGGCCCCAGCCCGCTTCTGGTTTGGTGCCTCTACCTCATTTCCTGGCACAGGGCTGGGTACCTTGGGGGTGCTCAGATGGGTGGAATTCCTGCTGCAGGGCGAGCAAAGAGCCGTATCCCCTGGGTTGCGTGGAGAAAACGCAGGGTGCTGTGAGTGGCCGGGGTTCCCCTGTGCTCAGCCGAGAACATTCCAGGCAGAGGGAACCTCAAGTGCGAAGGACGTGAGGCTGGAAGGGGCTGGGGTGTTTGAGGACTGCTGCTGGTGGTCAGAGAGCCAGGAGGGAAGACCCCTGTGGGACCACCAGGAAGCTGAGTCGCACCCCCACCCCGGTGCCCCAGTGTTTGACCGCGGCTGCTTCTCTTGCAGGAATCATCCGAGTCCTTTACCGTGGCATCCAGCCCGGCCCGGCGTCGCCGAACCAATGATCCTCTCACCTCCAGCCCCGGCCGAAGCTCCCGGCGCACCGACGCCCTGACCTCCAGTCCTGGCCGTGACCTTCCTCCCTTTGAGGATGAGTCCGAGGGGCTGCTGGGTACAGAGGGGCCCCTGGAGGAAGAAGAGGACGGAGAGGAGCTTATTGGAGATGGCATGGAGAGGTACTTTCCTTCAGGGCCCTGGACGTGGCTTTGCAGAGCGCCCAGGCGTAGGCATCTCGGCTTCGGGGGCTGGACAGCATCCTCGCCTGTGAGCGCAGCGTGGCTCAGGGTCTCGGGGAGACACAGCACAGCTTAGGTCGGTTTAACTTGCAGTATCTAAGCTAGAAGGGCCAGGTCTCGAGGCCTGGGTGGGCCCAACTGCTTGAGGGTGGCTCCCAGGGGACACAGGGGTCTGTAGGCTGGAGAAGAAGCACCAGCACAGAGAGATGGATTTATTTTATTTAAAATAGTTGTAGACGGAGAGAGGAAGGGAGAGGCAAAGGCGGAGAGAGAGATCTATCCTCTGGTTATTCCCCAAATGGTTACAATGGCTGCGAGTGGGCCAGGCCAAAGCCAGGAGCTTCCTCTGGTTCTCCCACGTGGGTGCAGGGGCACAAGGACTTGGGCATCTTCCACTGCTTTCTCAGGGACATTATCGGGGAGCTGGGTCAGAAGGGGGACAGCTGAGGGGCTTTGCTGTGGTGTAGTGGGTAAAGTGCCAGCATCCCATATGGGCACCAGTTCAAGTCCTGGCTGCTCCACTTCCAATCCAGCTCTCTGCTGTGGCCTGGGAAAGCAGTAGAGGACGGCCCACGTCCTTGGGCCCCTGCACCTGCGTGGGAGATGTGGAAGAGGCTCCTGCTCCTGGTTTCAGATCAGCACGGCTCCAGCTGTTGCAGCTATGTGGGGAGTGACCCAGTGGCTGGAAGACCTCTCTCTCTCTTTCTCTGCTTCTGCCTCTGTAAAACTGCATTTCAAACAAACAGGCAAATCTTAAAAAGAAAGAAAAGAAAAGAAGTGGGGCAGCTGAGACTCGAACTGTTGCCTGAATCAGATGCTGGCACCGCAGACGGCGCCAGCCCTCAGTGCAGCTGTGGGCGTTGACATACAACTTTGTGTGTTTTCGGTTCTCTTGGTATGTTTCTAGGCATGGGGGCCAGGCCCTAAGACTTTTTTTTTTTTTTTTTTTTTTTTTTGTATTCACCTGTGTGCCGGAGAGACCCTTCATCTGCTGGTTTACTCCCCACAGAGCTGTGATGGCTGTTGTGGTCGTGGCTAAAGCCAGGAGCCTGGAACTCCATCTGGGTCTCCCACATGGGTGGCAGGGGCTCAAGCACTTGGGCCATCTTCCTCTGCCTTGCCAGGGGCATTAGCAGGGAGCAGCTGGGACTCGAGCCGGCTTTGATATGGGGTGCCGAGGACACCACCGGCAGCAACTCAACCCGCCGTGCCACAGTGCCAGTCCCGCCTTCCGCGTTCTTAGAAGCGAGGCTTGAGGGTTCCGATTCTCCGGCTGCTGTGAGGGGACACGTCCCTGTGGCTTGACTGGCATTTTCCTGGTGGCTGATGATTTCCGTGTTTTGTTTTTTGTTGTTGTTGTTGTTTTTTTAAAGATTTCTTTATTTTGAAAATCAGAGTTAGAGGAGGAGGAGAGAGAGAGATCTTCCATCTGCTGGTTCATTCCCCAGATGACTTCCATGGCTAAGGCTGGGGCAGACCAAGCCAGGAGCCAGGAGCTTCTTCCTGGTCTCCCACGTGGGTGGCAGGGGCCTAAATACTTTGGCCCTCCTCTGCTGCTTTTCCCAGGCCATTAGCAGGCAGGTGGATGGGTGTGGAGCAGCCAGGACTCGAACCCACACCCACATGGGATGGAGGCACTGCTGGCAGTGGCTTCATCCACTACATCATAGTGCCGGCCCCTCAAACACCTTTTTTGATTTTAGTAAAATACATAAAAAGTTGACTGCTTCAGTCTCTGCAGGCGTCACAGGTGGCGGCTTTACCGCATGGTTAAGGGATATTAAATGTGCCCGTATCGTGCAGGCCTTCTGAGCCTGCGTGTTCCTGGCCTGCGCGGCTGGGGCTCGTGGGCCTCCGGGATCGGGCCCACGTCCTGGGCGGGATGCTCTCCGCGGCGTTCACCGTGTTCACTCTGGGGCCGTCTCAGGGACTACCGCGCCATCCCGGAGCTGGACACCTACGAGGCGGAGGGGCTGGCTCTGGACGACGAGGACGTGGAGGAGCTGACTGCCAGCCAGAGAGAGGCGGCCGAGCGGGTCATGAGGCAGCGCGACCGGGAGGCTGGCCGGGGCCTGGGCCGCATGCGCCGTGGGCTCCTGTACGGTGGGTTCAGATGCGTGCTGGCCAGAGAGGCCGGTCCCGGCTTCCAGAGCCCCAGGGGCCTGGCAGGGCGTACCGGGGAAGCGGTGCGAGGTGCTGGGGAAGTTTGACGCGTGGGTGCCCCTCGCCTCCCCAGACAGCGACGAGGAGGACGAGGAGCGACCCGCCCGCAAGCGGCGCCAGGTGGAGCGGGCCACGGAGGACGGCGAGGAAGACGAGGAGATGATCGAGAGCATCGAGAACCTGGAGGACCTCAAGGGCCACACGGTGCGCGAGTGGGTGAGCATGGCGGGCCCGCGCCTGGAGATCCACCACCGCTTCAAGAACTTCCTGCGCACCCACGTGGACGGCCACGGCCACAACGTCTTCAAGGAGCGCATCAGCGACATGTGCAAAGGTGTGGCTCCCTGCACCCTGGCCCCCTCAAAGGGCCCCTCACGTTGGCCTTGCTGGGGCACAGTTAGCACCTGTGAGGTGTGGGCAGTGTCCGGCTACAAGTCCCAGGCCGGATGGGGCTGGCACCGGAAACACAAGATGTCCGACCTTCAGAGAACCACAGTGTATTGAGTGTCTGCACTTGGACTGTCCTGGCTGTGCAGGGACCACCAACCTGGGTTCCTCCCCCACCCCCAAAAGATATTTATTTATTTGAAAGGAACAGTGAGAGAGAGCTTCCATCTGCTGGGTCACTTCCCAGATGGCCACAGTGGCTGAGGCCAGGCCAAGCAGAAGCCAGGAGGCTGGAGCTCCATCAGAGTCCATCTGTGAGGGGAAGGGCCCAGGCACTTGGCCCGTCCTCTGCTGCTCTCCCCGGGCCCATTAGCAGGGAGCTGGAATGGAAGTAGAGCCGCTGGGGACTTGAACTGGCAACTCAGGGAGGGCATGCCGGAGTCCCAAGTGGTGGCTTAGCCTGCCGCACCACAACGCCAGCCCCACCAAAATGTGTTTTTTTTTGTTTTTTTTTTTTTTTTTGTGTGTGATGTGTTTTGAAATGGCCAGGTTTTGTATAGAAATCTGGACTACTGCCTGGTCACAAAGTGGCAACACATTGCTGTGTGCAGTCCCCCCGCTCCCTGTGCCGGGCAGTTTCCCCATCAGTTTCCTTCCTGGTCCTTGAACGACTTTGCATCTGTAGCTCTGTTCCGTTCAGCAGCTCCACACTGTGGGGCGGCCCATTTTACAGAGCGGGGAGTTGAGGCTCAGGATGTGTCTAAGTCACGTAGGTAGAATCGCAGGGCCCCAGGGTTGGGCCAGTCGTCGTCTCCCTCCTCGTGCAGCCCCTGTCGTGAGGCAGAGGGCTCCTCCCTGGGCCCAAGCTGGCCCCTGCTCAGTGCCGTTGCCTCTCGCCCGCTCTCAGAGAACCGCGAGAGCCTGGTGGTTAACTACGAGGACCTGGCGGCCCGGGAGCACGTCCTGGCCTACTTCCTGCCCGAGGCGCCGGCAGAGCTGCTGCAGATCTTTGATGAGGCTGCGCTGGAGGTGGTGCTGGCCATGTACCCCAAGTACGACCGCATCGCCAGCCACATCCACGTGCGCATCTCCCACCTCCCTCTGGTGGAGGAGCTGCGGTCACTCAGGTGAGCTGCGGGCAGGTGAGAACCACGGGTCCTTGTGGTCTAGACGCTGCTGCAGAGTGGCAGTGCTGTGGGTGGGGCAGGGTGCGGCCAGGAAGAGCCCTCATCCCAGATGGGTTCTGGTTGTGTGGGAGTGCTATGGGGTGGGTTTGTTGGGTGGGCACTGTGTGTCCTCCTGGGTAGTCCTGGCCTTGTGTGGTCAGAGCAGCCTGGCTGCCGGCCTCTGATGTGTCCTTGTCCTCTACAGACAGCTGCACTTGAACCAGCTGATCCGCACCAGTGGGGTGGTGACCAGCTGCACGGGTGTCCTGCCCCAGCTCAGCATGGTCAAGTACAACTGTAACAAGTGCAACTTCGTCCTGGGCCCCTTCTGCCAGTCCCAGAACCAGGAGGTGAAGCCAGGCTCCTGTCCTGAGTGCCAGTCGGCTGGCCCCTTCGAAGTCAACATGGAAGAGGTGAGAGGCACACGGGTCCTGCTGCTGGCTGCTATCCAGTTTCAGTGGGTCCCCAAACGCAGGGCCTGACCCACCTCAGGCTCATGAAGAGGGACAGCAGAGAGCAAGATGGAGTTGTGTACTTGCTACACCTTAAAGAACTGCGATATTTATTCCAAAGGCAGAGTTTCGTGGGGGGTGGGGGGGGGGTCCTTCCCTCTGCTGTTCACTCCCCAGTGGTCACAATGGTTAGGGCTGGGCCGGGCTGAAGCCAGAAGCCTCGTAGTGCAATCCAGGTCTCCCCTATGGGTGGCAGGGCCCGAGCACTTGGGCCATCTTCTGCTGCCTTCCTAGGTGCCTTAGCAGGGAGCTGGGTCAGAAGTGGAGTCGCCAGGACTTGAACCAGCACTCATGTGGGATGCTAGCATCGCAGGTGGCGGCCAAAACTGCACCGTCGCTCTGCCAGCCCTGGTAGTTTTGTCTGAAATGTCCAAGTGGACAGCTTCTCCTGGCAAACTGGACCCCTTCTGACCTGGCTGCTGCTTTCAGGACACAGCTGTCCCGCCTCTGCAGGGCTGTCACTCATATGCACAGCCCCCGTCCTGTATGGACTCTGGTGCCTGCCCGGCTCGTGGGGCCCCTGGATTAGAACCACCTCAGGGCCGGCGCCGCGGCTCACTAGGCTAATCCTCCGCCTTGTGGCGCTGGCACACCGGGTTCTAGTCCCGGTCGGGGCACCGGATTCTGTCCCGGTTGCCCCTCTTCCAGGCCAGCTCTCTGCTGTGGCCAGGGAGTGCAGTGGAGGATGGCCCAAGTGCTTGGGCCCTGCACCCCATGGGAGACCAGGAGAAGCACCTGGCTCCTGCCATCGGATCAGCGCAGTGCGCTGGCCGCAGCGCACCGGTCGCGGCGGCCATTGGAGGGTGAACCAACAGCCAAAAAATATCTTTCTCTCTGTCTGTCTCTCTGTCCACGCTGCCTGTCAAAAAAAAAAAAAAAAAAAAAAAAAAAGAAAGAAAAAAAGAGTTACAGAGAGGGAGGTTCCTAGGCCATTAGGGAGCCGGATTGAAAGTGGAGCTGGTGGGATGGCAGTGTTGCAGGCGGTGGTTTACCTGCTATGCCACAACGCTAGCCCCATCACCGGGGCATTTTGGTTCAGAGTATGTACTTCTAACTGCTACGTCGTTCTCTCTTTGAGACAATAGTGAAATAATGGACAGCAAATAGGCTGGCACAGCCCATCAGAGTAACAGAGAACTCTTTCATCATTTGCTGCGTTCCTCCCCAAATGGCTGCGCCAGCCGGAGCTGAGTCAGGCCAAACCCAGGAGCTAGGACCTCCCTCCTGGTCTCCCGCATGGGTGGCCTGGGCCCAAGCACTTGGGCCACCTCTGCCTTCCTGGGCACGTTAGCAGGAAGCTGGGTAAGAAGCAGAGCAGGTGGGACTCGACGTGGACCTCCAGGATGGGATGCCAGTTTAACAAGCAGCAGCTTGACCGTTGTGCCACGAGGGCAGCCCCTCGGTGCTGTGTCCGTGGGGCTGATTCATCCGTGTCATGAGGTTGCAGTTAGAGCATCGGCATCCCCGTAAGTCACTTGCCCAGGAGAACGGACGCAGGATTTGAACTCGGGCAGCGTGGCTCATGGTGGCTCAGCCTGTATGAGATGTGCCAGGTTGGCCAGAGTGGGGACCGCCTGCCAGTGTTCTGGGGCGTGTGGGCTCCCTCCTGCCATCTTTGGCTCTTTGTTATTGCCCCTTTTCTTCATGGGACTGGGGTCGAGGTCAGGTGGCCTGGTAAGCTGTTGCTTTCAGGAGGGCACGAAGTGTGTCGCTCAGGGCGGGGCTGCCCTGACCTGCTGTCTGTCCCTCTAGACTGTCTATCAGAACTACCAGCGCATCCGCATTCAGGAGAGCCCGGGCAAAGTGGCGGCCGGCCGGCTGCCCCGCTCCAAGGACGCCATTCTGCTGGCTGATCTGGTGGACAGCTGCAAGCCGGGAGACGAGATCGTAAGTCCTTGGGGGCGGGAGCTGGCAGGCACGGTCACGGCCAGGGGTGGGGCTGGTGGTAGTGGGGGAGTCCGCCTGAGGTTGGTTCTTGAGTCAGCTGGGCAAAGAGCGTTTCCCCCTTGTGATGGCTGGCCAGGTGCTGGGATTAGGAGCAGTGTTCCTTTGGTTTTGCTGAGCTGCTCACCTTGGTGTCTGCAAGTGTGGTGTGGACAACTGGCAGTGGGAGAAAGTTGGGTAAAGGCAGCTGGAGGTGGACCCAGCTCCCGCTTGGCGCCTGGCTTCGGCCCTCTGACCAGTTGGCCTCTGCTGTCCCTAGGAGCTGACCGGCATCTACCACAACAACTACGACGGCTCCCTCAACACCGCCAATGGCTTCCCTGTCTTTGCCACCGTCATCCTGGCCAACCACGTGGCCAAGAAGGACAACAAGGTGGCCGTGGGGGAGCTGACGGACGAGGATGTGAAGATGATCACCAGCCTGTCCAAGGATCAGCAGATCGGCGAGAAGGCAGGTGGCAGGCGGGCTGGGGGCTGTGGGGCGGAGGCTGCTCGGCCCTGATGCCCTGGAGCCTTGGTTGCGATTCCCTGGTCCTAGAAATGGGCGCCCTCCTTACTTAGCTCCCCACCTGGAGCTCAGTCATCGCCTCCATGGGAGGCCCTGTCGCCGTGGGGAGGAGCCTGGATGTGGGTGCCAGGGAAGGGCCACCCAGCTCCTGCTCTGCCACGTGCCAGCTGAGTGGCCTGGTGGCTTCTGAGCCTGCGCCCCCTCCCGTGAGACAGGGAGGAGCCTCACTGGTTAGGACAGGATTGGGCTGACCATTGGGTGGGTTCTTTCCCCTTCGGCCTCCCGTGCCCTGCCCAGGCCTGACTCTGGAGCCAAGGCAGAGCCTTGGGGTAACTGCCAGCTCACGGGGCGTCCTGGCGGCCGGCCCTAACCCACAGCAGTTTCTCCAGGAGGAAGGCTCCCCCGCTGCGGCTTTGTGGTGGTTTCTTTTTTTTATTTTTTCCCCATGTAGACATTTTCACTGGAGGGTGGGGAGATGAGGGTTAAATCGGATGTTAGATTTTTCTCTGTAAAACTCCTCTGCCGTGTCTCCCGTCTAGACTCGCCTGCTTCCTGGTGCCTACTTGTTCTGAAGTTACTGTTCTCCCTCTGTCTTCCTCAGCTCAGTTTCTTGCTGGCTTTGTTGATGGTCTTGGATTTTGTGTGCTTTTTTAAACATTTGTTTATGTACTCGGAAGGCAGAGTGACAGAGAGACCTTCCATCTACTGGCTCTCTCCCCAGATGGCTACGACAGCCCGGGCTGGGCCTGGCTGAAGCCAGGAGACAGGAACTCCATCCTTGTCTCCCACGTGGGAGGCAGGGGCCCAAGCACTTGAGTGGTCACTGAGCATCTTCCCAGGTGGTTAGCAGGCAGCTGTATCAGAAGCAGAGGGACTGAGGTGCCTGGCACTCCAGTACGGGACGGGGGACGGCAGTGTTGCGCGTGGTGGCTTCCCCCTCTGTGCTCGACCTCGGCCCCTCCTCCTGCGGGGTTTCAGTGCAGAGCAGCTGCTGAGGGCCGCGTCCACTGCACTTCCCGTGGGCTGGCTTAGTGAGTGGGCTCATCTCCCTTGCGTGTGTGATCTCCCCAGGGACAGGGCCACCCCCGTCCCTAGAGGCTGGCTGGAGACAGCACGGCGAGTATGAGTGAATGGAGGCTGCTACGATTGGGGCGGAGCTGTGTCCCGGCGGCCGAGCAGCTCCTCGGTCATCGTCCTCTGTCCACTTGGCCTTGGAGCCCATGAGCCCTCTCTGCACAGCCGTGCCTGTCCCTTCTGGTCCCCCTCATCTTTCCATGCCTTGTGTCTGCTTGTCAGTGTCCCTGCACGTGCACGGCTGTTCTGCTTGCTTTGTTCCTCAGTGTGTCTTCTGCCAGTTAGCAGAATAGCTTCGTGTCCCACATCCCTATCCCCGGAGTGTTCAGTGGCTCTGAGTCCACGCGAGAGACTGCTCTGTCACCCAGCGGTAAACCCGGCAAGGGTGAGGCAGCTGGCATCTGCAGGCCTTGTCGGTGTGGGCTAGGCGTTCGGGAGTTTTCTGGGTTCTTCCCAGAAAGTTAATTTGGCGTGTCTGTTCTGTTCTTCCTCACCCCATCCCGTCTCCCACCCCTAGTCATCCCTGATTCGGTCTTTTAGTCTGAGGGTGAAGGAGAGAATCATGCCTTAGCGATGGGACCACAGAGGAGGGCTGCTTGTTTCATTGTGTGTTGCTGTCATTGAGGAAGTGCCACGGGAAGGCTGCTGTGAGTGCCAGTCCGCCCCCGGGTAAGGCAGACATGGCCCTTATTCTCACGCAGCCATAGATGCCCATGACAGCTAGGGCCAGGCTGAAGCCTGGAGCCTGGGACTTACTCCAGAATCTCCCAGGTGAATGGCAGGAAACCAGGTACTCGAGCCATCGCCTGTATCCCGGATGCACCAGCAGGAAGCTGGATTGGAAGAGGAATAGCCTGGACTCGGACTGGTGCCCCGGTAGGGATGCAGGCATCCCACGTGGTCACGTGGCTCTAGTTTGCTTTGATGTTCGTGTCACATGAGAATCTGGGCGTCTGGGTTTTTCAAAGTCTTAGTCTCTGATTACTGGTCCCTGTTCCTCTGGCAACGCTGACTAGGGCCATGCGGCAGGGCATGTGCCTTCCAGCGTGTTCTGTACCCCCTCTGGAGTTCTGTCCAGCCTGGTGAGCTCTGTTTTGAGACTCAGGTTGCCTTCTGGGGGGCATTGAATTTTGAGGGCCCTGGGCACTGATGGGGTCAAGTATTAAGGAGGTACGTGGCACACTGGACACAGATGTAACAGGAGAGGCACACGGCGTGCAGCCAGACTTCCTGTGGATTTTGGCCTAATCCTTCGTACGACCAGATAAGCCGCCCTCGTCTGTAAGTGGGGGGTGAGAGGACCTACTAGAGTTGTTAAAAGACCACGCAAGGGGCAGGCGTTGTGGTGCAGTGGGTTAAGCTGCCACTTGGGACACCCATACCCTGTTTTGGAGTTCCTGGTTTGAAGCCCCAGCTGCTCCACTTCCCATCCTCTGCTAAGGCGTCCTGGGAAGCAGCGGATGATGGTTCGAGAACTTGCGCCCTTGCCGCTCTTCTGGGAGTCCTAGATGGAGTTCTGGGCTCCTCGTTTCAGTCTGGCCCACACAGAAGGAAAGAGCTAGACTGAATCAGTATTTGTGAAGTCCCTGTCCATGGGTAACTGCAACACTGTGACTCCTTGGCGCATTCGAGATTAGATTCTGTGCCACTCACCTGCTGTTCAGTGAGCCCGTCCGTCTCCTGGCTGACCGGGTCAGTGGCAGAGGGCACACGGGCAGTGTGGGCATTCGCGTGTTTGCTCTGCTGGCGCCCGGGAAGGCCTGCCTGGCACCGCCGCGGTGTGTACAGGATCGGCCTGGGCTTGGGGACTCTGCCCCGCATGGGAAGCAGGATGCCTGCCGCCCTTGGGACTGAGGGAGACGTTACCTCATCCTGCAGGGTTGCCCACTGCCAAAACGACAGCGGGCGGTGTCCAGGGGAGAGAGGTCAAGGCTTGGAGTCTTAGCCCGCCCAGCAGGGGTGCAGGCGTGTGAGGAGGCTGTCTGCCCAGCGGTCTCCGCACAGTGAGCGTCTAACAAGAGAACTCTGTACTCGGTATTTGCCTGGAACGGTCGAGGTGATTTCCACGTAGTGCCAAACGCTGGAGGTGTCCTCTGGGCCCGTTTTGCTGACGAATACACTGAGGCACAAGGGGTTAAATAAGGATTTCCGCCTTGGCAGTCGGGCTCCAGAGCCCGTGCTCCCTGGACTCTCACGTGGCTGCTTCATCCGGTCGCCACAGCTCGTTTTATTTGGTTACGAGGAGGTCCCTGGGGGCACTCCATAACGCAAGGCTTGGTTCACACTGGAGAGCTGGCTGTCAGAAAACTTCATATGCGTGTGGAATGGTGTCATGAATTCGTCTGTCTAGTCCATTTTGTGCTGCTATAGCAGTGCCACAGACTGGGTGAATTTTTCGAGAGGCAGAGGAGGGGGGACAGCATCCACGAGCTGGTTCAGTCTCCCTGCCCGCCCCGTGCCTGCAGTGGCTAAGGCCAGGAGTCAGGAACTCAGTCCAGTCCACAGGAGTGGCAGGAACCCAGCTGCCTGAGCCGCCACCTGCTGCCTCCCAGGGTCTGCGGCAGCACAGAGCTGGAGCCAGGAGCCAGGGCCAGGAGTGGGACCTTGGGACTCCAGTGTGGGGCAGAGGCAGCTTGGCCACGAGGCCTAACCCAACCACGATGCGGTTATCACACTTGAGAAACAGTGAATGATTGGGACTGTGTTAGATGTCTCTGAATGTCTGACCTTTAAAAATCGGTGTGGGGGCTGGCCTTGTGACGCAGCGGGTTAAGCCGCAGCTCGCAGCCCTGGCGTCCAGTCCTGGCTCTTCTGCTTCCAGTCCACCTTGCTGCCCGTGGGCCTGGAGGGAGCGGATGATGCCCACGTGCTTGGGCTCCTGCCACCACGGGAGATACCTGGCTCCTGTCTGCAGCTGGTCCACCCTGGCTCTTGCAGCTGTCGGGGGAGTGACAGTGGACATAGGATTTCTCTCTCTCTCTCCTCTGTGCCCACCTCCTATTCCCCCCAGCACTCTGCCTTTCACACACATAAATCCTTAAAATGTTTGTTAGATGTTAGTGGCTTCTTGGAGCCAGCTTCCAAAAAGGGCCCACGGTGATGACTGACTGATTTCTAGAGCTCATCTCTGAATCTCGTCATCTTCAGGCCGCTGCTTCTCCCTACTCCCCTTCAGTTGTTTGGGAGACACTGGGTGGTCTCCCCTGCTGAGTCTCCCAGAGTCCAGATGTTGCTGATCTGTGCTGGCTGAACACAGGCCCCGGTCACCTGTGCGTCAGTAAACTGGCGTCAGTTAGAGAAGCTGAGTCAGGCTCTGTTTGGTTTTCATTCTTTCTGTGTGGGGGCCCTGGCTCTCACGGGCGGACTTCCTTCTGATGGGAGTGGCCACCAGGGACGGGGCGATCCTTGGCCAGGGCCACTGGGTCACGAGGAGTTGCCAGAGGAGGCTCACTTGCCGGGAATCCTTGGCAAGGAGGAGCGTCTTTGTGAGCTGTGTTTAACACCAGGTCGAGCCCCAGGAGGAAGCGCAGGACGAGTGCTCGCTCGTTCCTCTTTGATTTGCCAGTTTGCAGAATGGCGAGTTGGTTCTGCAGCGTCCTACGACGTGAGTGGCGCTGTGGTCTGTCTTGTGGTTGTCGTCTTCACTGAGCTCAGGGTGGCCCGTTTTTGTCGTGTTGGATTCGAAGAGTCCTGCTGACCCCACCCTGGTTGTCTTTGAGCTGCCTCTCTGGGTTTCTGGCAGAAGATACCGTAGGCTGCTCTTGTACCTTTCCCGCTCAGACCCGGTGTCGGCCACTTCTCCGAGGAGTGGGAAGTCTTCAGTGGGACGCGGTGTTCAGGAACGTCTAACTCGGCAGGTGGGTGGGCCTCCTCTTCCACCGTCACTGCCGGTTTTCTTCTTCGGTGCCCTCCTCCCCGGGGCCCTGGTGCCGTCTGAGCTCCTCCTTGCTTTGTCCTGGAAGGAGGGAAGTGTGGGGATTCCGTGCTGCTCCTGCTGGCCGGGATGGGGGTGGGGAGGTGGCACCGAAGGTCAAGGTTCAGCTCTGCAGCTCCTCCAAGCAAGAACTTTGATGCCTCTACTTCTGTCTTTAAAACTCATGCAGATTTGCGTTCTCTCTCCTGCACACACCCTCGAGAGCTGTTGCAGTGAGTTGGCAGTCTCAGCCTCTGGTGGACACAGCTCCCAGATGTGCAGTCTTGGTCATTGACCGTGGCCCAGCCATGAGCCAGGCACTTGCCTGTCTCTCTGCCACGTGATGACACAGGCTGGGGCGGGGCAGCGTGGTGAAGACCCCCCGCCCCCGTGTCTGTTATGGGCTGACTTCCGCCACACGGTGCCCTGCTCTCAGATGCGGCTCTCGGCTCATCTCCACTCTTGATCTGTGGTCTTGGGAAATTACTTCCTGGCGTAAGAGAGTGAAGGGGTCTTTGAGTCACGGGTCTGTGGTTGTCTGGTAGAACTGATGGGAAGGCCCCGCGTCGGGGCAGGGCCTGGTGGGCCGGGTGCCTGAGAGCTGGGGCCAGAGCGAGCGCTCACATCGGTGTCCCTCCCTGTTCTCAGATCTTTGCCAGTATAGCGCCTTCCATCTATGGCCATGAAGACATCAAGAGAGGCCTGGCCTTGGCTTTGTTTGGAGGGGAGCCCAAAAACCCAGGTGAGTGGCCCGGGCACCACCCCTTCCTCTCCCGGGCGCTAGCGGCTTTTGCTCCGCCAGTGTCTTGGGGAGCCAGCACTGTGGTAACAGGCAAGGCCACGTGGGCGCTGGGTGGAGAGAGTGGGTCAGGCTGTGTGTGTGACCCGCTCACCAGGAGGGAGGACAGCCCCTGGCCACTGCTCCTCAGGCTGCCGGGGGATCCAACTCCACGGCTGCCTGCTTTTGTGCTTGGAACAAATTAGTCTTTGCTTCTCTCTTAGGTTTAAGCTTTAGCTACAACCGTAGCATAGAAATCTTTATTTTACATTTTGATAAAAGATGAGCACACACTGCCCTTTTTTTCTTTTTGATAGATTTATTTATTTGAAAGCATTACAGAGAGAGGTAGAGACAGAGAGGTCTTTCACCTGCTGGTTCACTCCCTAGTTGGCCCATTTGGGATGCCGGCACTGAAGGCTGAGGCTTTAGCCCGCTGCACCACACCGCCTACCCTAGACTGCTGTTTCTCGCCCCGGGTCCCTCCCTGCCGTAGGTCACTCCCAGTCAGGTTGGTGTGTGTGCTCCAGGCCCTTGTGGCAATGTTAACCGACGTGTGCAGTGAACAAGGGGCTTCCTGACATACGTGCGCATTGATATTTGCAAACGCAGGCTTCCCTGTGCGTGTGCCCCGTGCCCTGCCCACCCCGACACACCCAGCTGACCTCCCCCCTGCAGCCTGCAGAGCAGGCTCATTCTTGAGTCTCCGTGTCCTGGTCCGTATAGCATGGTTTCTTTAGTTCCGGTTGAGTCTCCGTGTCCTGGTCCGTATAGCATGGTTTCTTTAGTTCCGGTTGTACATTTGAATCACTCACTGCTGTGCACACTCACATTCACAAAGGATGCCTTGTGCAGGCTGCGTCCCCGGACGTGTTCCTCAGGGTTAAATGCTCAGAACGGAAAGACTGCTGGTGGGGGCCGCCCCTCCCTGTCAGGGGGCTGCGCCTTTGCCGTTGCTAATAAGCAGGTTGAGGGGTGGATGGGGTGCACCCATCTTGCCCCCCACCCGCCCCGTGCCTCTTCCAGGTGGCAAGCACAAGGTGCGGGGGGACATCAACGTGCTTCTGTGTGGAGACCCTGGCACGGCGAAGTCTCAGTTCCTGAAATACGTTGAGAAGGTGTCCAGCCGGGCCATCTTCACCACCGGCCAGGGCGCGTCAGCTGTGGGCCTCACAGCCTATGTGCAGCGGCACCCCGTCAGCAGGGAGTGGACCTTAGAGGCCGGGGCGCTGGTTCTGGCCGACCGAGGAGTGTGTCTCATCGATGAGTTTGACAAGGTGGGTCCCTGGGTGGCGTGGGCCTCGGCACTCGGCTTGGGCCCGCCTGAGACCGGCGGTGGGGGCTGGGCCTTGCTAACGGTCGGGCCCTCGACTGGCAGATGAACGACCAGGACAGAACCAGCATCCACGAGGCCATGGAGCAGCAGAGTATCTCCATCTCCAAGGCCGGCATCGTCACCTCCCTGCAGGCCCGCTGCACCGTCATCGCCGCCGCCAACCCCATAGGTACCCCGCGGGGCAGCTGCTGGGCTTGGGGCCTGCCGTGGGGCACTGGGCAGCACGGGGTCCCTTCCGCGCGTCTTATTGGAGAGGGCAGGAGGTCAGAGTGGAGGCACGGGTGTTTTTGTAGAGCCCGCGTCTTGGACCCACCGTGGCTGTCCTCAGGAGGGGGCATCGTCCTAGCTGGGGCAGAGCTGGGTCTGAGCCTGTTGGGCTTGCAGGCTGTTTCAAGCATTGCTTGTGGAAAGAGCACTGTGCCTGATGGACAGCAGGTGCTGCGTGGCCATTCCGTGTCCTTCCCTCCGACGCCCTCGTCCACTCCCCCTCTGATGGAGGCTGGGGGCACTCGCTGTGATGCAGGGTACCCTGTGTTTCAGGAGGACGCTACGACCCCTCACTGACCTTCTCTGAGAACGTGGACCTCACGGAGCCCATCATTTCCCGCTTTGACGTCCTGTGCGTGGTGAGGGACACGGTGGACCCGGTCCAGGTACAGCCGCCTCTTCTGGGGTTCTTGGGCCCTCGTGTGAGGCTTAGGGCCGCGCAGTGTGCCTGGTGCAGGGAAATGGGCACTGCACGGGCGTGGCCTGCTGTCCAGTGTTGTTCTCTCGGTCTTGCGTCGTGTCCAAAAGTCCTGACTTCTCTTTCTTCCACCGGCTGCTCCCTGGCTGCCCTCCCAGCCTAATCCTCAACCTTGCAGTGAGTCTCTGCCCTTAGGCCTGAGAGTGTAAGTTGCTTATCGGCCAGCTTGTGGCTTTCCACTGAGATGAGAAGCCGTGGCCGTCCCTCTCCTGCCGGACCCTGTGAAATCTGGGCTGTCGCTGGCTGGTGGCGCACTGCCCGCACTGCTCCCTGCCTCTGCTTGCACCCGCCTGCTTCCTCTCCTTCCTGTCTTTCTTCCCGGCACGTGAAGCTCTCTGTCCTGGAAGTTTGGAACTCCTCGCCTCTTCCCAGCTGTGTGACATCTCCCAGTGGGCACCCGAATCTGCACCGAGAGGGTGTGACGCGTGCATTGGTGAGAGGCCGTCGCTCTCCTCGCACACGCCACTCGGGCTGACCCCCCCCCGCTTCCTCCCCACCGTAGGATGAGATGCTGGCGCGCTTTGTGGTCGGCAGCCACGTCAGACACCACCCCAGCAACAAGGAGGAGGGGCTGGCCAACGGCAGCGCCGCGGAGCCTGCCCTGCCCAACACGTACGGCGTGGAGCCGCTGCCGCAGGAGGTCCTCAAGAAGTACATCATCTATGCCAAGGAGAAGGTCCACCCCAAGCTCAATCAGATGGACCAGGACAAGGTGGCCAAGATGTACAGCGACCTGCGGAAGGAGTCCATGGTGAGGGGTGGCCTGTGTGCTCACTCCCCAGAGCACGGGGCAGGAAGGCAGTGCAGAAAGCGGCACGTCTCTGTGGTCTTGGTCTCTTTTACGCCATTTTCTGTAACAGTACCCGCGACTGGGAGCTTGGGAAACAGAGGCTCTGGGACCTGCTGGTGGTGATAGCAGGTGGAAGGAAGGGTGAGAGGTCACTTAGCGGGAGGGGAGCGGAGAGCCGGCTGCCGAAGCCTTGCAGGAACCTGCTGGCCCCTGCGTTGATCCCTCCTGCCAGCTCACTGGTCTGCCAAAGGCACCCCTTCCCAGTATTATGCCAAACCATGGCATACGCCTGCCTCGTGGTAGGGCCAAGGTCTTTGGATTGACCGACCGTCATCCTAAGTCAGCCACAAGACTCTGACCTTCTCTGGTTAAATTCCACATCGGCTTTGCGTAAATCTCACCCAAATCAACGTGAGATCTGAGCTCCAGGCTTCATTTTGGTTCATAATGAATGGAGCAGGAATTCTTTTATTTCCCTTATTCCTTTCATTCTAAATTTTTGTTTTTAAATTTTTGTTTATTTACTACTTTATTTTATTTGAAAGGTAGAGAGCCACACACAGCTCCTCCGTCTACTGGTTTACTTCCCAGATGTCCATACCACTGGGGCTGGACCAGGCCAAAGCCAGGAGCCCAGAACTCAGTCCAGGTCTCCCGCCTGGGTGGCGGGGCCCCATGCACTTGAACCATCACCTGCTGCCTCCCATGGAGCCCATTTACAGGAAATTGGAATTAGAAGTGGAGCCAGGACTTGAATGCTGTCACTCTGACATGGGGCGTGGGTGTCCCAAGTGGTGTCTGAAGCACTGTGCCAGATGTCCACCCTGGGAGGAAGAATTTCAGGGCAGCTCGTAAGCAGCTGGGATGCAGAATCCTCGTGGGTGGCTCTTCCTGCCCACACCTACTCAAGGCAGCCATGTTTTTTTGTTGTTGTTTTTGCCCTTTAGTTTTACCATGTCTTTCAGAGCATTCAACTCAGTTTTCGTAGAAACTACTTTTTTTCTCAGTGACATTTCACTGGGTTATGTGGTATTTGGTATGTGACAGTAGATTTTACAGCTGGCCACAGATAAGACCAGCTCTGAGCTGTGTTGAGGTCGGATGGGGGAGCAACCCCTTGCAGATGTGAGCGGCCAACATGCACTGCACACCTTCATGTTTTAAGAAAGACCCAGAAGGGGCTGGCGCTGTGGCATAGCGGGTAAAGCCATTGCCTGTAGCGCCAGCATCCCATACGGTTACCGGGTTGAGTCCTGGTTGTTCCACTTCTGATCCAGCTCTGCTGTGGCCTGGGAAAGCAGTAGAAGGTGACCCAAGTCCTTGGGCCCCTGCACCTGTGTGGGAGACCCAGAAGAAGCTCCTGGCTTCAGATTGGCCATTGTGGCCGTTAGGGGAGTGAACCAGCGGAAGGAAGATTTCTCTGTCTCTCTCTCTTTCTTTGCCTCTGCCTTTCAAATAAATAAATAAATCTTTAAAAAAAATTAAGACAGACAGACCTGGGAGCATGAGTTGGCCTGGCACCTTCGCTCTGTGAGATAAGCCTGCCTGGTTCTGGCCGCCCAGAGTGCCCCCTCTGCCTGTCCTGCCTCTCCTCCCCCCCTGAGAGACCCGACGCCGTGCTCCCCCGCAGGCGACGGGCAGCATCCCCATCACGGTGAGGCACATCGAGTCCATGATCCGCATGGCCGAGGCCCACGCGCGCATCCACCTGCGGGACTACGTGATCGAGGACGACGTGAACATGGCCATCCGCGTGATGCTGGAGAGCTTCATCGACACGCAGAAGTTCAGCGTCATGCGCAGCATGCGGAAGGTGGGCGTGGAGGGGGCGTGGCCGCGGGCCAGCTCGGCTCGGGAGGCCGCGGGTGGCCTGCGCCCCGGCTGCCCGGCGGCGGCCTGACCTGGCGCTGTGAGGCGTGGGGAGCGGCGCTTGACTGTGCTGTCTCCCGCAGACTTTCGCTCGCTATCTGTCGTTCCGGCGGGATAACAACGAGCTGCTGCTCTTCATATTGAAGCAGCTGGTGGCAGAGCAGGTGACTTACCAGCGGAACCGCTTCGGGGCCCAGCAGGACACTATCGAGGTGCCCGAGAAGGACTTGGTGGACAAGGTATGCGCATGGGTGGGAGGTGGGGGTCGGGCTGTGCTGCTTTGGGAGCTGTTAGTGACATCTTGGGGTCGTTGAGCGGACCGGCCTCTGATGATAGCCGTTTGTTGAGTTTTCACAATTCCACGTGTGTGGCATCTTGATCTTGTCTCATTTCCTAGAGGTAGAGAAAGGCACAGGGCCACCAAGGAACTTGTCCAAGTTCCACGGCAGCGGTGGAGCTAAGATTGGAAGCCTGGCTCCCGGCTCCGGCCCCGTGGCCGCTGCCCCTCCGGGTTCCCCTGCTCTGGGGACACGGCCCGGCTCACTCCGCGTTTGCTCTTCGCAGGCTCGGCAGATCAACATCCACAACCTGTCCGCCTTCTACGACAGTGAGCTCTTCAGGATGAACAAGTTCAGCCATGACCTGAAGCGAAAGATGATCCTGCAGCAGTTCTGAGGCCCGGGGGTTCTGGGCCTGGGGAGTCGGGCCAGGCGCTCAGTTTTACGGACTTTAGCCGAAGCCACTGGCGCTCAGAGGGTGCTGAGGCCACGGTGTGCAGCCCTGGTCTCCTGGGCTCAGGTCGTGTCTCGGAGGGAGGGTATTTATTTCTTTGGCTTCGCTTCCTGCTTCTCTCGCCTTCTGGGTGGGCAGACTGCCAGCGTGTTAGAAGCTCAGTAGGCCGCGCCCACACCAGTGTTGTCTCCATATAGCACCTTGCACCACCAGAGTGCGCTTTAGGGGAATGACCGTCCCTGCACGGGTGTCGGGAGAGCTGTGCCCTTTCGCCATGGGTTTTGTGTCCACACTTGATTCTGCCGCCTTTGGCCACAGAGCAGTGTAGACGTCTCTTCTTTTTCACGGCTCTGTCCCGCGGTAGGAGAGCACCGCCGGCCAGCGCTTGCCTGCGGGGCACCTGTGTGCTGCGGGCGTGGTGGGGCTTACGTCCCCAGGCTGGGGCACTTGAGGGAATCGGATTGGGGCATGAAGAGTCTCCATTAGCCACGACTGTCAGCCAGCATTGCTATGCTCATCTGTTTCCTCATTCTCCTGTTTGTACATGCAGGTCTGTTTCTAGAGTTTTAATTTTTAATAAAGAATTCCAAGCACTGGATGTAGCCGTTGGCCTCAGTTCTGCGTAGTATCCCAACCCGAGCTTCCCCGGGCTTCCTTCGAAGGCCTTTTCCATCGTTGGCCTTTGGGTTTTGTAGGAAGTAGGGCAGGTTAGGAAAGCAGCTTTGTGAATGTGGCAGAGTAAGAAATCACATGGACCTCCCTCAGGAACTCGGTCTCGGTGCTGTCTGTGACGTCTGAGTGGAATCCGTGGGGATCCAAGAGCAGGCGTGTGTGTGGCGGGACCGGGGGAGTGCGGCGGCATTGTCCTTTTCCGCAGTGTCGCTGGCTTCCACACCAGAGGCGCTCAAGGGCTGAGCTGCTGGAGGGCCTGGTCCGGGGTGGGGCTGAAGTGTCTCCTTGCTCCTCCTGCCTTGTCCAGTTGCGCCCTGGGGAACTTTCCAAGGTGCATCTGTTGGAGGAAAGCCCTGCAGATCCTTAGGGAAAGTGAGTGTCTGGGTCCCTCATCATTTCCCAACACGAGTAATTGCCTAAGAGCCTGCTAAGCACCACCCCTAGGCGGCCAACAGGCCGCACGTGGTTTCCTTTCCTCGCCCGGCCTGCAGCTCATGCAGGGCACGGGGAGTCGGCACAGGCCAGGGAGAGTCTGCAAGTCGTGCTGTGCGGCGAGAGGAAGCAAGCAGAAGTGGGAAGCTCCGTTGGCAGAGGTGGTGGGGAGTGGGTTGCTGAGGGAAGGACCCTTTTAAAGGTGTGGTTTCTGGGAGGATGGAGAAGGGGCCGGCCACTAGAGCGAGTGGCTGAGGCGCAGAGCTGGGGCGGTAAACTAGGCCGTAGCAGGCCTCAGCGCGGTAGGCAGCAGGGAGGAGGGTGTTGACAGAAGCCAGAAGCAACCGTTTCACAGGGTCGAGGCCAGCTGGCCCGAGTATCTGAGAGCAGGTAGAATGACACCTGTCGACGGTGACGTGAGATGCGGCTGTGCTGAGTCACCAGTATCCTGCGCAGACATCTCTAATGCATCCCGATGTATGTGTGTCTCTGAAACTCGGCGTTTGTGGTCGCGTGCAGGGGACCTCGACAAGCGTTTTCTGTGCTTCCTGGTGGAGGTCGGGTTGGAGTGTGAGTGGGATAAACGGAAGGAAGGAAACTGGAGAAAGCTGAGCAGTCTGGTGCTGAGGGGAGCCCGGGGGGACAGCTGACTGTATATGCAGCAGGGGAAGTTTTTCCATTGCTGTTCATCTTAGGAGTAGGCAATTCAGTTTCTTGTTCTTGCCATAGTTTATCAGATTAATTTTTTTTAAATTCAAAAAATATGCTGGTGCCGCGGCTCACTAGGCTAATCCTCCGCCTTGCAGCGCCGGCACCCTGGGTTCTTGTCCCGGTCGGGGCGCCGGATTCTGTCCCGGTTGCCCCTCTTCCAGGCCAGCTCTCTGCTGTGGCCAGGGAGTGCAGTGGAGGATGGCCCAAGTGCTTGGGCCCTGCACCCCATGGGAGACCAGGATAAGTACCTGGCTCCTGCCATCGGATCAGCGCGGTGCGCCAGCTGCAGCGCGCCGGCATTGGAGGGTGAACCAACGGCAAAAGGAAGACCTTTCTCTCTGTCTCTCTCACTGTCCACTCTGCCTGTCAAAAAAAAAAAAAAAAAAAACTTAAAAAAGTCAAAAAATACGATACCATATGCATTAACTTTTCATTAATTTTCATGAAATTATTTTCATTTTTATTTGAAAGGCCAAGAAAGATCTCCCATGCACTGGTTCACTCCCCCACAACAGCCAGGACTGGGCCAGGCTGAAGCTGGGAGACTGGAACTTAGTCTGGGTCTCCCACGTGGGTGGGTATCAGGGACCCAAGTACTTTTTAAAAACTTTATTTATTTGAAAGGTAGATCAACAGAGAGAGACAAACAGATCCCTGTTCTGTGGTTCGCTTCTCAAATGCCTGCAACGGCAAGGCCCAGGCAAGGCCAGGCCAGGAGTCTGGAACTCCAGTGCCGTCTCCTGTGAGTGGCAGGCACCCAACTAGGTGATGTATCAGCTGCCACTCCACTTCCACAGTGCAGTAGCGGGAAGCTGCAGTCAGAAGCAGAGTAGCTGGGACTCGAGCCAGGCACTCCAGTGTGGGATGAAGATGTATTTATTTGAAAGGAAGAGTTACAGAGAGACAGATTTCCATCTCTGGTTCACTCTCCAAATGACTGCAATGGTTGGGGCTGGGCCAGGCCAAAGCCAGGAGCTTCTTCAGGGTCTCCCACGTGGCTGCAGGGGCCCCAGGACTTGGGCCATCTTCTGCTTTCCCAGGCCATAGCAGAGAGCTGGACCGGAAGTGAAGCAGCTGGAACTCAAACCAGTGCCCATATGGGATGCCGGCACTGCAGGCGGCAACTTGACCCACTACAGCACAGTGCCGGCCCCGTGTATTTTCTTCTAATAGTTTCGTTTTCATGGTTTTAGCTCCTAGGTCTCAGATCCATTTGGAGGTAAGTTTTGTATGAGGTAGGAGGTAGAAGCACCCAACCCTCATTCTCCTGTGTGTGTATACAGTCGGCTCAGCACCATTTCCTGAAGAAACCATTGCTTCTGCATTGAACTGATCTGGCACTGCTTATTGACAATTGACTGGTGACGATGAGAATTTATTAATGGGCTCTGAGTTCTTTTTCAAGGATATGTCTACCGTGTGCCAGTACCAATTTGTTTTTCAAGTTCTGACTATTTTAGATGCATTGGATTTTTGTATGAATTTAGGGTCAGCTTGTCAACTTGTGCAAAGAAGCCAGCAGCAGTTTCGGGGGGGGGGGGGGGGGGGGGCACTGACTGTTCACTGTCGGGATTGCTCTCACTGTTAGGTCCTCTGATTGGGAAGTGGGATGTCTCATTTAGTACGTCTTTCATGTCTTTCAACAGTGTGTTTTCAGGGTGTTTTGTGCTTTCAAAATTAGATATTAATAGGACTGGCAGTGTGGGGTAGCTGGTTAAACCGCCATCTGCAGCGCTGGCATCCAGTATGGGTGCCGATTCGAGTCCTGGCTGTTCCACTTCCCGTCCAGCTCCCTGCCAAGGTGCCTGGGAAAGTCCTTGGGCCCTGTACCCACATGGGAGCCCTGGATGAAACTCCTGGCTCTTAACTGTGGTTTGGCTCAGCTTTTGCTGTTGCAGCCATTTGGGGAGTGAACCAGCGGATGGAAGATGTCTCTCTCTCTGTCTCTCCCTCTGTTATTCTGCCTTTAAAGTAAATAAATAAATCTTTTAAAAATTAGATTTATGAGGATAATTTTAAAAAAAGCTCAGGAAAATGTAATTAAAATTGAAGTTTTTTATGTAATAAAATTTGAAGATCATGAGATGTCTTTAAAAAGTTCATAGAAAATGCATACTATGAAAAAGCTGTCTAAATTTCAAAATTTTACATTTTAAATTTTTTGATAGGTGATGGCTTGTAGTTTTTCAATCTTATTTGTACCTTTGTTCCCTCTTTCATTCCTTGACATTTACTTAACGCCTTTTCTTTTCTTCTTATTGCTGCTTTATTCATCTTATTCAATAATACGCTCTCAGCAATCAGTTCTACTTGGTTTTTGTTTTTACTTCCACAACCGTAGAAATTTATTGATTGGCTATTGTGTGTGTTTGTGTTTTTCAAGCTCCCTAAATTGAATGCTTAGTGCATTTATTTTTAATGTCTTTTTTAAAAGTGAGCGTATTTGTGGCTATAAAATGCCGGTTGACTTGGCCACATCCCTTGGATTTTGATGGACGGAGTTCTCACGTTGTTGATTTCTGAGCGGCTCCCATTTCAGTCGTGACGGCCTCTGCAACCCGGGAGTCATTTAGAGGCACACGAACTTTGGAGTGCGGTTTGCTTTGTCAATTAATGCTCATTTACTTTGCATCTTTCAAGAGGTTCCTCGGCCTCTTGGATCCGCCACTGTGCCCTCGGGTTTCCCAGTGCTGTTTTCCATGTGTGTTTGCACGTGTGTGTGTCTTCCTGTCATCCCTAGGAACTGAACAGGATGGAAGGCAGATCTTACCTCCCCCAGTTTTTGCTCTTGTTTGTGTGTGTGGGTCTAAAGACTTATTTATTGGAAAGAGGTATGGAGAGGGAGGACGAGATGGGAAATCCTCCATCCAGTGGTTCATCCCCAAATGGGCGCAACAGCCAGGGCCAGGCCAGACTGAAACCAGGAGCTTCATCCGGGTCTCTCCAGGGCCCAAGCATTTGGGTCACCGGCTGCTTTCTCAGGTGCATAAGCAGAGAGCTGGATCAAAAGTGGGGCAGCCAGGATTCAACCTGGTGCCCCGTGGGATGCTGGCACCACAGGCAGCGGCCTAACCTGCTACACCACAGCGCCCGTCCCCTTGGAAAGTTCTCGAAAGTTCAATGATGTGACGATGAGCTCAATAGGAGGAACCTGGCCTGTGGGGCACAGGGACACTTTAAAGTCCAAAACTGCTTTACAGTCTAGCAATGACCCTGGTCTCCCCTTGACTGGGGAGGGGAGTACCTTGGCCCGGAGCTGCTGCTTGGATGGAGACCAGCAGAGGCAGCATGGCTCAGCGCTGTCATTCTCTGTGCGCTCTGACTTGTACCTCGGGAGAGTGTGCTCTGCTCTAACCCTGCTACGCCAGCCCCAGGTCAGACCTCACCCCTGGCCACCAGGACTCCTGCAAGTCTCTTCACTGGCCCTTAGCTCTTCTATCACAGGCCTTCCTCCCAGGTGGCCATCGGCGTCATCTAAAACAATGACCCAGTCGCACTATGATGGCTGATAAGAAAGGAAGTTCTTACAGGTTGGAGGGCAAATGTATCATCACATTCAAGACCCCTTACTACCCAGTACCTCTAATACCCAACCAATAAAACGGGCTATGGCAGCCGGCGCTGTGGCGTAGTAGGCTAAGCCTTTGCTTGCAGCACTGGCATCCCATATGGGTGCTGATTGGAGTCCTGGCTGCTCCTCTTCCAATCCAGCTCCATGCTAATGGCCTGGGGAAGCAGTGGAAGATGGCTAAGTGCTTGGGCCTCTGCACCCACGTGGGAGATGCGAAAGAAGCTCCTGGCTTTGCGTGGCCCAGCTCCGGTAGTTGCAGCCACTTGGGGAATGAACCAGCAGATGAAAAATCTGTCTTTGCCTCAAATAAATAAATAAATCTTAAAAAAAAAAAAAAAAAGGCCATGAAGTTTAAGTTGGCCATAAACTGAGACATGGGGTGGTTCTGTGAACAAAACAAGGCCTTTACTAAGGTCTAACCTGACATGACTGCTTTCTGTTACGTTCTTAGATTAGCCCCTTCTTCCTTGGGCTTAAGTTCTTCATGGAATACTCATACAAGGGCACAACCAAAAACTCATTGAGGTGTTTAGCTGAAGCCGTTTGCCCGTCTTCTGCCCTTGTCTTATCATGAAATCCACCCAGACTCCTAATGCTGTGTTTTTCCTGGAAGAACCGTGTGAGATCACACTCAGTGCTGCACCCCGCACGGGGGAGAAGCTATTGTTGGGCAAAGCAGACGCCATAGAAAAATCCATTGTTTTCCTAATACACCGCCTATAAGGAAAGCGCCCACAAAACCTCTGTTTAAGTTGCAGTCATTCTCAAAAGGTCTGGGCGCCTCTCTAGCCGGGGAATCGCCAACAGGTGTTTGCCCTCTGTCTGGAATGTGCTCTGTGAGAACAGAACCTCCTGCCCCACTCCCCTCCCAAGGGCGGCTGCACCGGTGTCTGCAGGTACCCCTGCCCGCCGTCTCGCTGCACCTGCACTTGCTAACGGTTCAGCGACAGCACCACCTGCGCGCTGATACAGGTGGGCGGTGGGGTGGGAAGTGCCTGCACCTGCCGAGCTTGGACAGCGCGTGGCCTCTGGGAACGGCGGTGGGAAGTCTTGAGTCAGCTGCGTGGCCGAACCCTTGTCCACAGAGCGCACCGAAGCCGAGGTGGACCTGGTGGTCCTCGCCTCCCCGGGCTCCCCCGACGCAGCTGACCACGCTGCCTCTCGGGGGTCACTCCGACGTGCTCCCCCTCTCCGGCGGGCGGCCAGCTGACCCGCGCGCTGACCTCTGCCAGGACCCCAGGGCGCAGGTGCCGCCAGAGGTGCGAGGCCAAGGCGCTCGGGCAGCTCGGGACCCGCCCTCCTCGGGGTGTCCGCGGCGCTGATTGGCCGGCCGGGGGCTGGGGCTGCGGCGGAGGGGCGGCCGGCCGCGCGCCCGCCTCGCCTGCGCGGGGGCGCGCCCGCGGCACGAGGCCGGGCGGGAGCTGAACGGGAGTGACGGCCGCGCGAGCCAATGGGGCGGGCGCGCGCCGCCGCCGCCGCCGCGCGGCCCCTGACGCGGGCCCGGGCGCCGCGCCGCTGCGGCTGCGGGCGGCGACGGCTGCACCATGGGCCGGCTGCTGCGGGCTTCCCGGCTGCTGCGGCTGTCGCCGCCGCCACCGCCGCTTCTGCTGCTGCTGCTGCTGGCCGGGGGTGAGTGCGCGCGGCACCGGGCGGCCGAGCGAGCGGCGGGCGCCGTGCTGGACAGCTCCCCGGGCCGCCAACAAAGGGGCGGGCTCGTGTGGCGCGGCGCGAGAGCGCGCGGGCCGCCGACCAGCCCGCCTGCTGGCCGGCGGCGTGGGGATGGTGGCGAGTGCCCCCCGAGTGAGGCGACACCTGGGGCCGGGGCGCGCGTGAGGCCCGCCCGCCGCCCGGTCCCGACACACCAGACACGCGGGAGCGGGCCAGGGGTGCGAACGCGCGCCGCCATCGCGGGGGCTCCGCCCGGGACGCGGCAGGTGCGCAGGGTCGCGCGCGCTCGGCGGGGAGGAGCAGCCTGCGTGACAGGGGCTCAGGGAGGCAGGGACCGCATTCGTGCGGGCCCCGCACACGGCTGTGCGGCGTAGAGGTGTTGATGGGTGCGCGCCCGGGGCCACTCTGTTAGGAGCGGACACACACACAAAAAAGGGAGTGTCCCAGCCACGGGGAGGGCTCTGCTTGCGACGGCGACGCGGCCGGACGCTCCCAAGCAGCTGTCACACATGCGTGTGTGTGTCCGCGCGCGCGGGATGTGTGCAGGTGCGCAGCGGCTCGCGCGGTGTGGGAGAAAGCGCTCCCGAGGGGCGTGCGTGCGTGTGCAGGGGGTGTGACAGCCCGAGAGGGGGGTTACGTGAGGACTTGGCGCGGCTGGCACAGCAGAGGGGACTGAGTTGTGGTCGCACGCCCCAGCGTGGCGTGTGCCGTGGAGAGCGCTGCTGGCCCCCGCGTGTGCGTGTGTGTGCGTGGCTGGCAGGTAGCCTGGCCTGGCTTCGTTCCTGAGTCACGGGTGCGTCTGTTGGGAGCAGTGTGCGTGGCTCCGTGGCTGCTTCCCGGGCTTGTTGTGCGCAGGTGTGTGGGAGGGGAGGGGCTGTCTGCTTGGTGGGGCCGCCAGATGGGCTCACGGTGACAGGCCGGGAGGGGACAGGGGCCCTTCGCTGGGATCCGTGAGGCCACCGAGGATGGACAGAGGCCCTAAGGCCGTGTCCAGAGGAAAGTGTCCGTCGCTCGCACACACCTGCCTGAATCCCGAGTACCTTAACTCCTCTCTGGACCAAGTGCGGCTGATGGGTCCGCCGATCCTTTGTGTGACGGCCACACCAGAGCTGGCCAGCGGAGATGTGGCGCTATGCCCCTGCGCGACTGGCTGCGGGTTACTGTCCCAGCTTCCGTGCAACCCCGGCCCCCGCCCCCTGTGGCCGTCTTCTCCCGCAGCGTGGAGGGCGCGGGCGAGTGTCTGGCGCCCTTGGCCAGCTTGGCGTGGACCCTTCCCCGCGAGCTCTCAGACGCCCACGGACACACGCGTGTGGCGCTGTGTCTGCTGAGGCTGATGGAGAGAGAGGTGGCCCTGGGCTGGTGGTGGACGTGGGAGGGGGAGGTTGGCGCCAGGAGCAAACCGCAGGGGCTGACCTGGAGCCAGAGGTAAACACGGCTTCCGCCCCAGGGCCGTCAGCGTGCGTCGCTGGGTGGATTTGGGTCAGGTTTTATTTGTTCACTGTGTGTGTGCGTGCGTGCGCCTCTCTCTCTCCTCGCCCGCGCCACCACCGTCTCTGTTAGGAGTGATGAAGTGACAGAAAATTATAGGTGCCAGAAGGGGGAGGAAAAAAAAAAAAAAGGAAATCCATCACACAGCGAGTGGAAAGCTGCAGTTTGAAGTCACGTGGGCTCTCAAGTACGGCAGATTAATTAGGAAGCGAAACAGTGACTGGACCCGGACTGGTCAGGCCTCTGCTGCTACTCCGGTGCCGTCTTATGGAGGACAGTTTTGAAAATAAGGTCTCCTAATTACCAAAACAATTGTCTGCCAAGGCTGTTGAAAATAGCAGGCGCCGGGGCCTGCGTTGTGGCACAGCGGGTGAAGCTGCCGCCTGCAGCGCCAGCATCCCATATGGGTGCCGGTTCGAGTCCCGCCTGCTCCACTTCTGATCCAGCTCTCTGCTGTGGCCCAGGAGAGCAGTGGAGGATGGCCCAAGTGCTTGGACCCTGCACCGGCATGGGAGACCCGGGGGAGGCTCCTGGCTCCTGCCTGGCCCCGCCCTGACCGTTGTGGCCATTTGGGGAGTGGACCAGTGGATGGAGGATCTCTGTTCTCCTGCTCTAACTCTGCCTTTCAAATAACTAAAAAATAAAGGAAATTAGCAAGTGCTACAGGTCAACAACAGTCACCACAAGGAAAAACAAGGTCAAGGCAGTGGACCTGCGTACCAGGAAAGGAATGAAAACCAGGAAACACTAGATTCCTCTTTTTTTTCCTCAGCACGATTTTCAAAATCTTTGTTAAAAAAGGAAGACAGAGAGGAAAAAGAGCGATGTTGGAGGGGGCCTGTGGCTGCCCCAGGTGACCGGCAGGGAGAGGTTCAGAGAACGGGGGACCTCGCCCGAGCCGTGGACAGGGCAAGGGACAGAGCAGTGAATGTTGGCACCGCCGTCCCCTGCCCAGGCCGTGTGGCCGTCCAACACCTGTCTTACCCCACAGGTGGGCAGTCAGCGGGCTCCCTACTCGGACTCATCTCGCGAGGGCACAGGCGGCTTTCCCGAGGCCCGAGAGTTCTGGGGTGCCAGGACGAGGCCCAGGAGGCAGGGGCTTGTCGCCGAGGTCTCACAGAGGCCCTGCACGTCTGCCTCTTGGGAGCAGAGGGGGAGCTGCAGGCTTCGCCAGGGAGATGACCTTGCCCTTGGCCCGGGAGGGAGAGCCCCAGCTCAGGGCCCTCTCGGCGCAGCTGCTCGAGTGCCCTGGGACCCGGACAGGAGCTGTTGGGTGATAATTAGAAGCATCTCTGATCAGTTGGCGCTTTGTCTTCCTGGAATGCATGAATGAGATTTCCAGATTAATTTCTCCTGTTCTGGTTCCATGCCAGACGCGTTCCCCATCCCAGGGGATGCTGGTTCTGCAGGGCAGGGCTCTGAAGCGTAGAGGCGGCCCCTCCCCGAGGGCTGGCTCCAGGGAGCACCTGGCGCACCTCTTGGTGCAGAGTGGGAGCTGAGCAGTGGTCAGGGTTTCTGTGTAACCAGCAGCCCAACACAAATGTTACCTCTGCCAAGACAGCACAGCCAGCCTGAAGCCAGAGCTCCCTGTCTCAGGGGCAGTGTCTTGTGACTCTGATCCACTTCCTAAAAATCAGGAAATAACTGTGAAGTAAGTACAGGGTGGGGATGACATACTTCCAGATACAGGGCCTCTGTGGGATAAAACAAGGAGGTTCATGGTGGTGAAAACTCAGGGAACCTTCATTGCCTTGGTCTTTAGTGACAGGGTCTTTCCCTCGCAGTCTGCTTTAAATGTGTGTGTGTGTAGGCACGCATGATTCGAAAGGCAGAGTTACAGAGAGAGGTACAGGAAGATGTTCCATCCGCTGGTTTGCTCCTCAGCTGGCTACAGTGGTCAGGGCTATGCCAGTATAAAGCCAGGAGCCCAGAACTCCTTTCTGGTCTCCCCACAGGTGGCAGGGACCCAGCCACCTGGGCCATCTTCTATTGCTTTCCTAGGGACATAGCAGGGACCCGGATCGGAAGTGGAGCAGCTGGGGCTGGGACCAGCACTCATATGGCGGTGGTTTTTTCTTTGGCCCCGAATCCCTGTGACATATTTGGGCAGTCTGGGGTCTGGTCATCCTTTCTGTACACTGTGGAGGGAGGGCTCCCAGCTCAGCAAGCGGCAGCTCCTTGTCCCTTCTCCATGGAGCTTCTAGACCTTTCTGTTGAGAGGGGACAGCTAATGACAGCTCTTCCATTCACTTGCTGTTTGACCTGAATCCCACGACAGCTCACGTATTTCATGTGTGAAACAGGGGATTGAGCCGGATCCTTTCTTGTTTATTCAAGGATTTACTGAGCCCCTATTGTGTGTCAGAGACCAGGAGGCCGTGGAATTAAGGGGCACATTGACTAAGCACTCCTCATTTATTTGTTTATTTATAAGATGGATTTATTTGGAAGGCAGAGTTAACAGAGAGAGGGGAAGAGGCAGAGAGAGATCTTTGATTTGCTGGTTCACTCTCCAAATAGCTGCATAGGCCGAGGCTGAAGCCAGGGGCTGCTTCCTCCAGGTCTCCTACACAGGTGCAGGGGCCCAAGGACTCGGGCCATCTTCTGTTGCTCTCCCAGATAGATTAGGAGGGAGCTGGATTGGAAGTGGAGCAGCCGGGACTTGAACTGGCGTCCACGTGGGATGCCAGGTACTGCAGGCAGTGGTTTAACCTATTGTGCCACAGCGCCGGTCTCAGTGCTCCTTGTTTATAAAGGAGGTTGTACGGGGTCTCAGTCAGTCAGGTGAGGAAGTGTGGCGACAAGAATCTGTCCAGAAGGCTCTATGAGAGGGAGGAAGTGCACCTCGTCCAGGCTGGTGGTGGGCAGCAAAGGTGTCTCAGAAACTGAGACCGGGGTCAGTGTGGCGCAGTAGGTTAAGCCACAGCCTGTGACCTGCCTCCCTCTTCAGAACACCGGTTGAAGTCCTGGCTGCTCTGCTTCCAGTCCAGCGCTCTGCTAATGGCCTGGGCTAGTAGTGGAAAATGGACCAAGGTCTTGGGCCCCTGCACCCAGGTGGGACACGCAGTGGAGTTCTGGCTCCTGGCTTCAGTGTGGCCCAGCCCCAGCTGTTGAGGCCATTTGGGAAATGAACCAGTGGACAAAAGATGGCTTTCCCTCTTTCAGTCACTCCCTGACTCTGCCTTTTAAGTAAATATTTTTTTTTTTTATTTTTTGACAGGCAGAGTGGACAGTGAGAGAGAGAGAGACAGAGAGAAAGGTCTTCCTTTACCGTTGGTTCACCCTCCAATGGCCGCTGCAGCCGGCGCCCTGCAGCCAGCGCACCGCGCTGATCTGAAGCCAGGAGCCAGGTGCTGCCTCCTGGTCTCCCATGTGGGTGCAGGGCCCAAGCACTTGGGCCATCCTCCACTGGACTCCTGGGCCACAGCAGAGAGCTGGACTGGAAGAGGAGTGACTGGGACAGAATCCAGCGCCCCAACCGGGACTAGAACCTGGTGTGCCGGCGCCGCAGGCAGAGGATTAGCCTAGTGAGCTGCGGTGCCGGCCAATTTTTTTATTTTTTAAGATTATGTATTTGAAAGTCAGAGTTGCAGAAAGGAGAGAGATTTTCCATCTGCTGGTTCACTCCCCAAATGGCCGTAACAGCCGGGGCCAGGCCAGACTGAAGCTAGGAGCCAGGAGCTTCCGCTGGGTCTTCCACATGGGTGCAGGGCCCAAGCACTTGGGCCATGTTCCACTGCTTTCCCAGGTGCATTAGCAGGGAGCTGGATCAGAAATGGAGCAGCCAGGACTTGAACTGGTGCTTGTGTGGGAAGCTGATGTTGCAGGTGCCGGCTTTATCAGCCCCACACTGAATAACATTTAACCATACAGGTAAAGCCGCCGCCCATAACATCTGAAAGCAGTTCAGGTGGTAAATCTTGTGCTGTGTGTACTTTTTAAAAAAATATTTATTTATTTACTTGAAAGAGTTAAACAGAGAAAGGAGAGGCAGAGAGAGAGAGTCTTCCATCCAATGGTTCACTCCCCAGATGGCCGCAGTGGCCGGAGCTGTGCTGATCCGAAGCCAGGAGCTTCATCCAGGTCTCCCACGTGGGTGCAGGGACCCAAGCACTTGGGCCATCTTCTACTGCCTTCCCAGTGCATAGCAGAGAGCTGGATGGGAAGTGGAGCAGCCAGGACGCGAACCAGCACCCATATGGGATGCCTGCACTGCAGGCAGCTGCTTTACCCGCTACACCACAGCGCCGGCCCTGTGCTGTGTGTATTTTACCAGAATTAAGAAGGTGTTGGAGGGGCCGGCGCTGTGGTGTAGGGGACTAAGCCGGCAGATGGTTCGACAGGGGGAGAGTTGGGGAGAAATGGGTGCTCAGGCCGAAGGGCTAGCAGGTACAAAGACCCAGAGGCCAAGAGGGCGTCATGTTCTGGAAATTACTGGAGAGTGTGGGTGAGGAGTGGGTGACCCTGGAGAGTGTGAGTGAGGAGTGAGTGACCCTGGAGAGGGTGAGTGAGGAGTGGGGGACCCTGGAGAGGGTGAGTGAGGAGTGGGTGACCCTGGAGAGTGTGCGTGAGGAGTGGGTGACCCTGGAGAGGGTGAGTGAGGAGTGGGTGACCCTGGAGAGTGTGAGTGAGGAGTGAGTGACCCTGGAGAGGGTGAGTGAGGAGTGGGGGACCCTGGAGAGGGTGAGTGAGGAGTGGGTGACCCTGGAGAGTGTGCGTGAGGAGTGGGTGACCCTGGAGAGTGTGGGTGAGGAGTGGGTGACCCTGGAGAGTGTGGGTGAGGAGTGGGGGACCCTGGAGAGTGTGGGTGAGGAGTGGGGGACCCTGGAGAGGGTGAGTGAGGAGTGGGTGACCCTGGAGAGTGTGGGTGAGGAGTGGGTGACCCTGGAGAGTGTGGGTGAGGAGTGGGTGGCCCTGGAGAGGGTGAGTGAGGAGTGGCTGACCCCTAGAGAGTGTGAGTGAGGAGTGGGTGGCCCTGGAGAGTGTGAGTGAGGAGTGGGTGACCCTGGAGAGTGTGGGTGAGGAGTGGGTGACCCTGGAGAGGGTGCGTGAGGAGTGGGGGACCCTGGAGAGGGTGAGGAGTGGGTGACCCTGGAGAGGGTGAGTGAGGAGTGGGTGACCCTGGAGAGGGTGCGTGAGGAGTGGGTGACCCTGGAGAGTGTGAGTGAGGAGTGGGGGACCCTGGAGAGGGTGAGTGAGGAGTGGGTGACCCTGGAGAGTGTGAATGAGGAGTGGGGGACCCTGGAGAGTGTGGGTGAGGAGTGGGTGACCCTGGAGAGTGTGGGTGAGGAGTGGGGGACCCTGGAGAGTGTGAGTGAGGAGTGGGTGACCCTGGAGAGGGTGAGTGAGGAGTGGGTGACCCTGGAGAGTGTGAGTGAGGAGTGGGGGACCCTGGAGAGGGTGCGTGAGGAGTGGGGGACCCTGGAGAGTGGAAGGGGGCGGAAGGTGTCCGTGTCGGAGGCTCCTTCTCTGCTGCTGGCCCTTTGTCTTGGTGACAGGAGTGACAGAGGCAGTTCTGTATTCACGAGGGGCTCCCTGAGCTTTGTTACTCGAAGCGCGGCCCGTGGACCTGCAGTGTTGTTCAGCCTGCTGAGCTGGGGCTGGCTAGAGTCTGACAAGTATGGCTTAAATTATTTAGTTCATGATTCCCTGCGATAGCCATTAGGCTGGGGTCAGCTGCGTGGTTCTTCTGGTCTCAGCTGGACTTCTTCAGGCTTGCTGTCAGCTGCCGGTCACCCCGCTGCTCTTGGCTGGCTCTGTCCCGTTGAGATATCAGCTGGCACGCGGAGCTGACGTGGTTGTCGTCCACGTGGGCAGCTGGCCGGCCCGGGCTGGTATGGGCAGGGGAGTTCACAGAGGACGGGGGCAGGGCCGGCCTTCGGGGCCTTGCCTTGGAAATGGCACGGCATCACCACTTCTCTGCCTCCTCTTGGCTGTTGGAACTCACACAAGAGCAGCTCAGATGCGAGGAGTGGGCAGTTAGCCGTCGGCTCTGGCCAGGGGGAGCGTGCGGGAGCGTCGCAGTTGTATGGCGAGGACCCGTGGCTTGGAGGCTGCTGACTGGCCTCGGTGGACCGTCCACTGACCACAGAGCCTCAGGGAGGAAGCTTAAGAAGATGGTTTTCCACGGTAGGACACGTGACCCTGTCTCTTTCTCATGCACATACTACAGCGTGGAAACAGTTTTCCTTCATAATAACAGGGCTAGGAAAAAACCATGAGTAGTTTACTGTCCCCTGCCCCCCCACCCCCCGATGGGAAGGAGGACTGACGGAAGGGGCCGTGGGAAGGCCTGAGCTGCCCGGAACCCGACATCCCTGACTCCCCCTCTCCTGAACAGAGGGAAGTGGACCCTGAGCTGATGGGCTCGGCTCTCCTGGCCTCCAAGTATCCAGCCTCTTAGAAACTGCAGAGCGTGAGGATGCCGTGGCCGCGTTGGTGCTGGGGACACAGTCACGGGCTCGAGGATCATGGCGTAGCTTCGTGGAGCCAGGGCCTTGGGTCTGGAGGAGAGGTGGTGACTTCCCGGTCTGCATTTAGCAGAGAGCCAGGAATTCCCGGGGCTGCTGGTGACCGAGCTGTCCCGGAGCGGCGCAGCACCTTGGGGCCTGCCCTCCAGAGCTCACGGGAGACGGTTTCACAGAGTCAGAGTGGACGTGACCACAGTCCTTACCAGCTCTGGGCAGAGGCTGAGATCTCGGGGTCTGCCTGCCCGTGTCCACCCCAGCCCTCCCCCCAGACTCTCCCTAGCATTTTGTTGGAAGGCACGGAGAACGCCTCTGATCTTCATTACCGCGGCAGCCTGTCCTTTGGGCGTATTTGAAGATGCCGGCCGACCACCGTCTCCTTTAAAAATCCCCTTTTCTAGGCCACGGGCTGCCGGGTCTGTTCTTTCTTTGGGATGATCACAGGTTTGCAGAATACTCTGGTCTGTGCAGCCCTGTGGAGAGCAGCGCACACACGCTGCCGGGGGTGAGCTCATCTGAGGCCCCTCCCCCGCAGGGGCTGCGGGAATCGCTGGCCTCGTTGTGCACGTGGGGGCTCAGCCAGCAAGCCAGAAACACAAACCTGCTTTGCTGGCAGCCGGCGCTGGCCTCCAGAGCACCCTTCTGTCTCGATTTCAAGGCCCATTTATCCTCTGCCGGTCTCTCTTCCTCCCCATTCATGCTACCCCAGAATGCCTCCCTTGTGGCGCTCCCCGTCCTGCGTTTTCCGGCGGCTGCATCATGCGCGGAGCCTCCTGCACAGCCCAATGTCCCCTCTGTTTCTCCCAGAACAGTCGGAAGCATTCTCCCTTTCTCCGGGGCCCGTCGCTGGCTTGGCACGTACCTAGCTTCAGGCTGCTGCTTCATCAGGGGCTTGTGGAGGTTAGCATTCAGACGCTGCTCACGATGCCAGCTGTTACCTGTGTTACAAACACACCACCTGTGCTGCTGTCAGGCCGGGCCGCGGGGCACGTCCCGCCCCGGGCAGGAGAAAACCCTGGAGCTCGCCTTCTGACATCACTGGAAAGAGTCTGGAGGTCACTCCTGCCCGCTGCCTTGCCTCTTGGAGGGGACCAAGACCAGAGGCCGGAAGCCGCTTTGCAGGAGGCCAAGGGCCTGCGCCACATGCCCGCTGTTGAGCCGAGAGACGGCGAGTGGGGCTGCAGTCCTCGTTTTCACTGACCGGGAGGGGAAGAGGGCCTCCCTTTAATCGGGTGCTGCTTTGTGCATCTGCTTGTTTTCTGAATTAGGGAGATGCAGGGTTCTGAGCCCTGTGTCGGATCACCAGCCCGGCGTGAGTCTTGCCTGTGGCCTCGTGTGGTTGGTAAAAGGCCGTGTCCGGGACACCGTGCTGCCTTGGTGCAGATTGGGGAGAATCTGAGCCCAGGGCAAAGCCTGGTGAAGAGTGTCCACACGGGAAGCCGGGGCCCCACAGGGCTTGTGTTTGTGCCCCGGCCCCTGGCACCGGTGCTAAGGGTGTTGGTTCCTCGCTCTCCCCACCCGTCGCCTCCGTCCCCCTTGCTCAGCGTTTGGCCTTTTCAGAATGAAGACAGCATCTCAGAACCCCCACAGCCTCTGGGTGTCAGAGGGGCCGTGGAGGACCCCAGCCCTGGGCTCTTTGTGGTCAGACACGCCCTCCCCTGCCCTCTGCCGCCTCTCCTAACCGTCTGCCTTTATGTCCCTGCAGGAGCGTCCCTGGGTGCCTGCGCAGCTGGGTCTGATGAGCCCGGCCCAGAGGGCCTCACCTCCACCTCCTTGCTGGACCTCCTGCTGCCCACTGGCCTGGAGCCCCTGGACTCAGAGGAGCCCAGTGAGGCCATGGGCCTGGGAGCCGGCCTGGGAGCCCCTGGCTCGGGCTTCCCCAGCGAAGAGAGCGAAGAGTCTCGGATCCTGCAGCCCCCGCAGTACTTCTGGGAGGAAGAGGAGGAGCTGAACGACTCCAGCCTGGACCTGGGTCCCACTGCAGGTAGCCTTTCTTCCCTGGAGAGCGTGCACCACGTGCATGCCAGAGTGAGCCACACGACCGTGCCCCGCCCCGCTGCCCTGTCCTCCCGCTCCCCACCACTTTTTTTTTTTTTGACAGGCAGAGTTAGACAGTAAGAAAGAGAGAGAGACAGAGAGAAAGGCCTTCCTTCCGTTGGTTCACCCCCCAAATGACCGCTATGGCCAGTGCACTGCGCCGATCAGAAACCAAGAGCCAGGTACTTATCTTGGTCTCCCATGCGGGTGCAGGGCCCAAGGACTTGGGCCATCCTCCACTGCCTTCCTGGGCCACAGCAGACAGCTGGACCGGAAGAGGAGCAACCGGGACAGAATCTGGCGCCCCGACCGGGACTAGAACCCGGTGTGCTGGCGCCGCAGGCAGAGGATTAGCCTAGTGAGCTGCAGTGCCGGCCTCTCCCCACCACTTCTGACCGTGCTGCCATCCACCTGACATCAGGTCAGGGTCCCTGGGACTCGAGCGTCCAGCTGGCCCAGGACACCCGTTCGTGGTTAACTTTAACTGCTGTTACTTTGTTCTTAATGTATATAACGCTTGTCACCTGGGAGACGAGGAGCGGTGTCTGCATTCCGGACAAGGGAAGTGGAGGCTTGGAGAGGGGAAAGCTCGCCCGCGGCCGGGCGGCTGCGCAGCAGTCGTGTTCCAGAGGTGTGGGAGTTGCGTCTCCCCGCCTCGGTGCTCTGTCGGGGGTTCCGTGAGACCAGCGCAGCTGCGTCCCTCTGGGTCTGTTTGCATCCAGTCCAGAGGCTCCGGTTGCCTCCCTCTGGGGGCATCAGAGCCGGTGGCTGGGTCAGCAGAGCGTTTCTGTGAACGCTGGCGTCCCGGGGCGAGTGTGAGGCCTGGCGCTCTGAGCGGGAACGAGATCACACGGGGGCGGCTGATCCTGCTGGCCGTGCCGCAGCTGCAGCAGCTGTGCCCTTTCTAAACGATGACCTGGTGCGTGTGTTTGTGTGTGCGTGTGTGTACGTGTGCGTGGGGCTGGGGTGTTGCAGATTTTAGCCATAATATTCATTCTCAATATAGATAGTGTTGATTGGATGTAGTCTCTCAAGTTGCAAAGAACCACATAAACCTTGTAGAAAATCTGAGAAATAAAAAAAACAATACATAGAAGAAAAAAACCACCCATAATCCCACAGCTGGAGGATCATCAGCACTCACAGTTTGGGGTCTGTCCTTCCCATCACCGCTGTGTGCAGAACTGGAGTCGTAAGGGACACTTTTATTCCACATCAGTGGCCACCCTTTTGTGTAACCCGATTTTTAATGACTACGTGTCATGTTGTGGGTCATCGAATGATGACACCAGTTCCCTGTCAACACAGAAGCTGCGTCCAGGTTTAATCCTTGCACTTCGCTGGTTGTTTCCTTAGGGTACATTTCTAGAGTAAAATCGCTAGGTCAGAAGATGGGTCAGTCAGCGTCCTGTCGGTGACGCCATCCGATCAAGATGGTCCACGGAGGGCTTACCTAGAACGCTGTGGGGACACAAACCCAGAGGATCCAGGAGCAGCAGCAGCTGAGCGGTCACATCTGAGCCCCAAGGGACAAGGAGTGGCCGGTGAAAGGGGCCTACAGGGAGGGATGTGAGAGTGGGTGGCTCTGTGGGGAAACCAGGAGAGCAGACCCCCAGCCTCAGTTGCAGGAAGCCAGGGCATGGGATCCTGTGGCCTTGGTCCACCGGCTTCCCGACCAGGGCCAGGATCCATGGACGTGGGAAAGTAGACCTGGACAGCAAACAGGCGCTGATCTGTGCAAAGGCCACAGTGAACTGTTTTCTGGTGGCCCTGCTGAAGGTCCGTCCCTGTGCAGCTCAGCACACGTGGGCCGGGCGTCAGTGCTGTGAATCCTTCCCAACAGAGTTTTGTCATTGAGAAACCTTTCTCAGCTTGATAGGAGAAATTATCAGGGCTTTGATTGTGAATAAGTTGTGTCTTATTCATGATATAAGTAAGCATTACACAGAATATATATTCTTCAGAGAACACTAGCCAGGTGCTGGCTCCGACGAGGAGCAGCCAGGACTCAGACTGGCACTGTGGTGTGGGTGCCAGTGTTGGGAGTGGCCGCTGACGCCACCTCCTGGGGCTGGCATTGTGGCGCAGCCCATCAAGCAGCTGCTTCCAACACCGGTGTCCCACATCGAGTGCCAGTTCCAGTCCTGGCTGCGCCTCTTCAGAGCCAGCATCTTGCCCGTGTGCCTAGGAAACTAGCAGATGAGGGACCAGGTGCTTGGGCCCTGCCGTCCATGTGGGAGAAGAGGGTGGAGCTCTTGGCTCTTGGCTTTGGCCTGACCCCGGCCTGGCTATTGCAGCCATTTGGAAAGTGAACCAACAGACGAAAGATCAGTCTGTGTGTCCCTGCCTTTTGAATAAGTAAATAAGTCTTTAAAAATATGTATTCTGTCTCTATGATGAATATAATAAATAGTATAATCATATGTAACATACAAGAGTTTCACAAAGTTCATGGAAAAATAAGATGAAAACTTATTTTGGGTCAAAAAAATTTAGAAATCTATGCATAGTTTTTTTTCATAATATGTATTTTCCATGATGTTTTTGAAGATTCCTGATAAAATATACTTGAATAATCTGTATGAATAATGCATTTTTGTATAGAAATAATACCTATTTATAGATCTTTTTGATTTGAAGCATAGTGTAGTTAAAAGAAGAAGCTTTGCAGTCAGGCGGGTCCCACAGTTCCAGTGCTGCGATGTGAGTTTTGGCAGGCAGCTTAATCGGTGCCTTGGAGGTAATCGCGCCTGTCCCGCAGGGCTGTGAGTTTCCAGCGCAGGAAGCCATTTCAAGTATTAGTATGCTGCTTGGCACATATGAAGCACTTTGTGGGTATTAGTTTGGTTTTATTTTTTTCCCAGATTTATTTATTTATTTATTTATTTATTTATTTATTTATTTATTTATTTATTTTATTGAGATGCCAAGTTACAGAGAGGAAGAGGCCTTCCCTCTGCTCATTCATGCCCCAGTTGGCCACAGTGGTCGGAGATGGGCGGATCTGAAGCCAGGAGCTTTTTGCGGGTCTCCCACATGGGGGCAGGAGTCCATGCCCTTGGACCCTCTTCCACTGTTTTCCCAGGCTATGAGCAGGGAGTGGATGGGAAGTGGAGCAGCTGGGACTCGAACTGGCACCCATCTGGGATGCCGGTGCCACCGGCAGAGACTTAGCCTGCTAAGCCACAGCACTGGCCCCAGGTGTTAGTTCTTAATGCTTCCCATTTGTGTCCCTGCGGCGTCAACGTGCTCTTATCACTGCACACATTTTTTTTTTTTTTTTTGGACAGGTGGAGTTATAGACAGAAAGGTCTTCCTTCCTTCTGCTGGTTCACCCCCCAAATGGCCGCTATGGCCGGCACTGTGCTGATCCGAAGCCAGGAACTCCTGGTCTTCCGTGTGGGTGCAGGGGCCCAGGCACTTGGGCCATCCTCCACTGCAGTCCCAGGTCACAGCAGAGAGCTGGACTGGAAGAGGAGCAACCGGGATTAGAACCGGCACTCATATGGGATGCCGGCGCTGCAGGCGGAGGATTAACCAAGTGAGCCACGGCGCTGGCCCCATGCTCAGATCATCATATGGAGTGGATACTCACTTGTCTCTGACATATACAGAAAATACCTTTCTTAAAGGCTTGTTTATTTGAAAGGCAGGGTTAGAGAAAGAGAGAGCTTCCATCCACTGATTCACTCCCCTGAATGGTTGTGACAGCCTGGGTTGGGCCAGGCTGAAGCCAGGAACCAGGAGCTCCATTGGGGTTTCCCCATGCAGGGTGTCGTCTTCCGCTGCCTTCCCAGGTGCATTAACAGGGAGCTGGATCGGAAGTGGAGCAACCGGGACTCGAACTGCTCTCTTATGGGAAGCCAGCATGTCAAAGGCAGCAGCTAAACCTGCTGTGCCACAACACCCGCCCCCAAACACCTTTTCCGTTTGTCATTTTTTAATCTTACTGTGGTAATTTTCAGCATACAGAAATTCAATATTTTGTCAGCTTACACTTTGTTCTGAAATGAGTCAGATGTTTTTACGTCCTTTCGTTTGCTTTGTGTTTGGAGACGCCTGCCCCTCCCCGAGATCTGTGCACCTTTATCCCTCCTTTCTCTGGATCTTCACGTGGGGCTGTAGCGGTTGTAGCTGGGAGTGTGGTGTAAGGCAGGAACCCAGTTTGGTTTTCACAGTGAAGACCCCTGACAGCCGCAGTGGGTTCACGGATAAATCCATCCCTTTGCTGTTTGAGAACAGCGCCCCCCTGCCTTGCACCGCCCAGTTCTGTGTCCTCGGGTCTCGTTCCCGAGAGCCTGAGAGCCTCTGTGGAGAAGGCAGTGGTGTGCCCTGGGCCTGTGCAGGACTGCAGTGGGTACTCCCGAGTGCTGACGGGCAGACCGCAGTCCCTCCTCCCATTCCCTGGCTCCTGTCCCGTCCCTTGGCTTCTCCAGGTCTCTCGGGACTAGCTGTCACTCGCCCCAGTCCTCTGCGGTCTTCACCGCGGCTGCACGTGGCCCTTCCGCCTGCACATCCGAGTGTGGGGTGGCTCCCGGGCCCTGCTGTCCTCAATGCACTGCTCGTCTTCTCCGTGGGCCCTTGGCCACAGGCCTTCCTGCCCCTCGCAGGCCCTTCTCCGTACCGCCTGGGGTTGAAACAGCTGCGGACGCCCATCTGTTCTTTTTTTTTTTTTTTAATTTGAGAGAAACACACAGAGTGCATTCCCGTCCGCCAATTCATTCCCCAAATGCCCCCAGTGGCCAGGGCTGAAGCAACGAGCCAGGAGTGCAGTCCAGGTCTCCTGCGTGGGTGACAGGATCCTGATGACTTGAGCCATCACCGCTGCCTCTCGGGCTGCATTGGCAGGAAGCTGGAGCAGGAGCGGGTGTGGACCCCAGGCACGCTGATGGGGGATGCAGGTGTCTCAACTGCTTAGCTGACTGCTGCTGCCCCCCCCCCCATCTT